CTGCCCCTCCGTGCCCACCTCTGGGCACAGTCACTCCTCCAGGGAGCCCTGGTCACTTCCAGTGGAGAATGGCATTCAGGATGGACGTGGCCGGGCGGGGTGCCGTGGGTGTGCTGCCCAGGCCTTCCCACCAGGCCGGCCCCGAGTGGGTGAGGACTGTGTCCCCAGCCCCCTTGACCTCGTTGTCTGTAAATGTGTGAAAACCCTGGTCCAGGGGCGTCTTCCATTCTGGTGTCACCCTCCAGGTCCTTCTGATTTTCTCTCTCCATATTTGTGATGCCCCTTGTCCTGTAATATGCACAGTGTGGTCAGCGAGTGCCCTGTCTCTCCTGGGTGGGTGCCCCCTCACCTGGCTCAGCATCGGCAGACCCCAGCTCAGCTGCAGCTCCACTCCGCCCCACCTGATGGCTCCAGGTCTGAATGGTCTTTGACCCTGTTTTCCCAGGGTGTCACTTGAGCAGAAATACAGTGCTGACGAGCAGAGGTGCCAAAGCTGGAGTCCTGCTGCCCTCTCCTGCTTCTCTGCTCCGTGACCCCAGGCAAGTGACTTGACCTCTCTGAGCCTGTTTCCCTGTGTAAAATACTCAGAGAGAGACACTGAGGACTCAGTGAGTTAGTATACAGAATGCACTTAGTGGGATGCTGAACAAAGTGCCCATCATCAGCATATAATTATTGAGCACCCACTGTCTTCTGGGCACCGAGAGGGGTGCTGTTTGAAGGGCTTGGTTCCCATAGTACGTGACCCCAGGTGGCAGTGATCCTCATGGCCCCGCATTCAGCAGGGAGGCTTTGTCCTTCAGCTAGGGAACGCCTCTGGCAATCAGAGATCTTGGGTTCCTGTCACTTTCCAGGTATATGACCTTGGACAAGTGACTGAACTCCTAAGTCTCAGTCTTGTCACCTGCAAAATGAGAAAAGATGAAGAAGGTGCTGAAGGGGATGAGCCATGGCTGGCAGCGGGGGAGGCAGGAGAGCAGGCAGTGTGGTGGGCAATGTGGTGGGCAGGCGCAGGGCAGAGCCCGGGCAGCTTGGAGGCTGGGAGAGGGCGGGGCCCAGAGGAGGATGCTCAGGAAGCACGTTTTTTGGTGGGGGGCGGCTCTGGGAATTGATCCCAGGGCGATCAAGCTCTGAGCCACATCCCCTGCCCGTTGCTGAGGCTGACCTCGGACCTGTGATCCCCCTGCCTCAACCCCACAGCAGCTAGGATCACAGTGTGTCTGCCTGCCTGGTGAGAAAGCAGTTCTGACTTTGCTGTGAGTACCTTGAGCTGGACCTGGACCGCCAGGTGAATGAATTTAGTTGACCGGGTGTGACGGCTAGTGTGGCCACTGCGGAAAGTTGGCACAAGAAGTTCAGACTTTGTAGATATCACATTGTGGAAAGTTCTGGGGCTGAGAAAGAATGCACTGGAAACAGGTGAGGAGCTGTGCAGAGTGGGCTCGAGGCCCAGGAGGCCCCGTCCTGGTTCCCATCAGGCTGAGAGCTCGGGGCTGCCGTGTCCCCTGCCGCGGCTGCTCACCCCACGCGGCTGAATAAAGTCAAATTTACATTGATTAAACAACAAAACCCACTCCTTCGTCACAGGAGGACCACATTTCAGGTTCCTGTAGGCTCCCGTGGCTAGTGCAGAGAGAGGACATGTGCATCCCCAGGGACAGCTCTGTCCTGCAGGGCTTCTCTGAGCACAGGGCAGCGTGCCTGGGCATGACTCACAGAGTGAGGAGGGCCTGAAGTTGGTGGTCGCCGAGACTGGGAAGGAAGGGGCACCTGCGTCTCGTGACTAATGGACCTGGGCTGAGGCTGCATACCAAAGAGAGGCTGAGGACCTGGGCCCTCGAGATGGCCGTTCTTGGAATTCTTGCATTGCTGCGAGGACATTTCTTGGCGTGCCTGTTGTTTCTGTCTGGCTTAAGTGACTTCGCTGCCCTAGTGCCTCCTGCACAGCGCAGCCTGGTGCCTTTGCCCCGCCCCGGCTCGCAGTGCACCAGGAGGACCTCACTGGCTCTGGCTTGGCGGGCCTGGGGGTCTTGGGGATCACCAAAGAACTCTCCTAAGGGTTCTGGAACCAAGTCAGGGCTCATCGTCTGCTGTCTCGTTTATGGAGACACAAAAGTCCTGCTTTGTGGACTTGCTGGTAGCTTCAACCGCCTGCTCCCACCCACTAGTGGGAAGGGGAGCCGTAGCTGGCTCAGAATGCCTCTCGCTGTGTGAAATGCTTCTGGACATTCCTTGTCTCTGAGAAGCCCACGCTGGAAGGCCCCGGCAGCAGACACCATCACGAGCCCTGCCAGCATTGCCTGCCTGGGACCCCTTTCCCCAAGCCTAGTGCCCGCCGAGCTGGAATTGCCCTCTTCCGGTGTTCTGTGTCTTGGGGAACAATTTGGGAGCTCCAGTTGACAGGTGTGTCCCAAGAGCCACTTGTTTTCTTCCTCTGTAGAGTGGTGTTTGAAACAAGGCCCTGCCCAACCGCAGTGGGAAGCCTGAGATCAGAAAGCAGGACCTTGCTACCACTTGGGGCCTTTGTGACTTTGAACTTGGGTGCAGGATGAGGAAGGACCCTTTGGGAGAGTAATGGAAAGAATCTTCCTTTCCATCTGCAGCTTTTAGTCAGTCTCTCTCAACAGCTTCCCAATCTCTTACATCTTTATGAATGTCACCTTGTTGGGAGGGGCTTCTAAGCTGACTAATCACAGCCCGCGGGGGGTTTTGAGGCCACTCTGTGTCCATCACCTTCACCGGCTTCTGCGGTTGCTGCAGGTCAGACAGTTCTGCCATCTGCCCTGGGGACTCAGCAGGAAGGACATTGAACTTGGAGCTTCTTAATCTGGTTTTGCCCCTAGAAACCATCTAACCACTGACAAGTCATTTATCTTATCTGAGTCTTGATTCTTTCATCAGAAGAATGGAATTGTAAGAATTAAGTGAAAAAAAATGCAGGGGCAGGCTCTCTGTGAACTACAAAGCACCATTCACATTGGAGCTGTTATTTACTTATTTAAAAGGGTACCAGGCGGCAGGGGCTGTGACTTGTTATGCTGACAGATTGATGGCCCGGCCACAAGCCCAGGGCTTGGCTCTTAGCTTTGCACATTCCGCAGCTTGACTTTGTGAATTCACACAGGGATGATCAAGTTCTGAGAAGCCAGTTTGGCAAACCAGGCTTACGAGGAACTGACGGATAAAATAGAATTTATAAGTTCACATTAGGAATCCACGTGGGGCCTTTTGCAACAAGGGCCATATCCTCCCTCTGTTCACGGTGAGGCGCGTGGAGCAGATTCTGTGGACTCTCCCATCCCGTCGCGTGCTCCTGGAGGCAGGCTCACCTCAGCACTCCCAGGAAGACTCCCTGACCCCGGGTGCCCACGCTGTATCCAAGTTCCTGCCCTGTCCTGTCTCACCTTGCTTCTCCAGGGCAGCAACCCTGTCTGGCTGTTTCCGAATCCCCTGGGATTAGCGCTCTCTGGGCGCAACAGACGCTCAGTAGACACCTGTGATCTGAACCGGGCCACCAGAACCTCCTCCTCACAATTGTTGGCACCCTTCTTTTTGGTAGTGACAACTTTATATTGGCTCCTTTTTTCCCTTGAATGACCATCAGGTCCCCTTAGCTCGCGGTGCGGAGTGTGATTGAGGGTTAGTTCTATCCATGGAAAAGTAACTCAGTTTTAAGTACTTCTGCCACTTTGGGACCCTTGACAGAGCCTGGACCATGGGCTTAGAGCCTCTGATTTTTGTGAGATACAGAATTAAGAAACCCTGAAATCATGTCACTAAGCAGCTTCCTGTTTCCTTGTGCATAAATCAGTGTGGAAATGCCTGTGCTGTCTGCCTAGAGTCCCCTGAGGCTCCCCAGCGTCCCTCGCCGGAGTGCTTTGTCAACAGCAGAGCTTACGAGAGGCCTGCTCTGCTGTCGTGGTCCTCGTCTCATGTCATCGTGAGGCCTGGCCCTTTAGAGAACAGGAACATCTGTGACCGCAATATTGGGTTGGAGGTGGGCACGTGCAGGGACCAGCTGACCATTGCTGCTTCTGAGGGGACAGCATCTGAGGTCTGGGCCCTGGCGTGGGCTCCCTTCACTGCACCTCGCTGTACCACCCCTTCTGCAAGGATCCTGCATTTCTGCGGGTGACTGCTTGGACTTAGGCTCTCCACGTGGAAAGTACCCCTCCGGTGATTAGGAGAGACTCAGGTGGAGATAGAGTCTGTTGCTCACAGGTCCCGGAGCCCGGGAGGACAGAGCAGAGACCTGGGGCCAACACCTTTGGGGGTCCAGGGTGGTCTACAAACAGGTTTGCATTCTGAGGAGGGACTTTAATTGATGGGTCAAAATTGAGCAGGCACGAATTCCAGGAGGTCACGCTGTGACTGAGAGGACATCACTGTGGCGTATCTGCACGTCCACTCAGCCAGAGGATCAGCAGGCTGCGGCTAGCTCCTCTCACCAGGAGGCAGAGTTCGGGATCAACCGCCCAGAGGGCAGGGAGGACGACTGGAAGCTGTCCCAAGGGTGACGGGGCCTGAGCCCCTCCTAATTTGAGAAGGTACAGCCTAGAGTCATAGTGGATGCCGAGGCAACGTAACATATGTAAGAATTCGCTACCGTGGTGATCGACTGAGCTTTTTTGCTTTTCCCAATAAAAATGTAGAAATGTTTTAATTTATATACTACAGTGAATCAATATGAAGTCAGAATTCACAATTGCACGTTCCTAAAAATTCCAAGAATCCTCCTCAGAATGCTTGGTTTCTGTGTAGACTTAGGTGTCCAGCGTATGTGGTTTCTCTCACTGTGCTGCAGAGTTTAGAGCTCTGCTGGAACATTCCCCAGGTTCAGTGCAGAATCTGTCTCTTCACCCATTTCTCCAGTGACAGCAGCATTGTCACCTCCTACAACATATAGGCTAGTACCACTCGTTCTGCTCCCTGCGAAGAGCTGGGTAATTGTTCATGGCTTTCATCCAAAATCAAATTAATGGTCTGGTCGAATCTTTCAGTGTTCCCGCAGTCGTTCTCCCATCAGAAGTAATGACAGCAACAGTTGGTGGTGTCCTTCTCCAAGGTAGGTGTCATGCTACTTGGCCCCGAGGTTCCCAGCAATGAAGTGGTACAGGCAATAAATAGTGCCTAAAAGCCTGGCCTCTGTTTTTGGTGCTTCCAAAAAGGTTGCTGTTTTGTTTCCTGGCCCCTGAATGATCTCTTTCAGGGCACCTGATCATGCTTCTCAAAGGACCACACATGTGTTTAGCCATGTTATCTTTTAGCAGCAAGTTGTTGAGGCTGATCTCCAACTTGTGATCCTCCTGCCTCAGCCTCCCAAGTCCCTGGGACTATGGGTGTGCACCACATGCCCAGCTCCACAAATGTGTCTTCCGTTCTTATTCAGTTTGCGGGTCCTTAACCTTGGCTGGGCATCAGACGCACCTCTGAACTTTCTAAAGAGCTGATGTTCCTGAACTTCAGACATCTGCATTAGACTGTGCTCAGGTTGGGCCTGGCAGGAGCGAGTTCCAGGAGTTCACTGGTTGCTCAGGCGTAAGCTGGGATCTGGGGCATTGGCCTAACAGTCTCCAGTGTGGTATTTCCACACCTACTGCTTTTGTTCTTGAAGGAGTTCTGTTTCTAAGTGGCATGGCATGCACCCTCACCACCGAGACAGGTACCCACTCCTTAAGGGAGACAGTTCTTTTTGCCCTTATCAATGTGTGTACCGCCCTGTACCCCCAGGCTCCCCATGCTCTGAGAATACTCGGCTATTTGAATGAATGAAGAGAGCCTCCTAAGGGGTATCAGAACATGATACAGGGACCATGGTCAGAGCCCAAGGGCCGGGGTGGAGCTTGCTTAGCAGGTGTGAGGCCCTGGGTTCAGTACCCATCCCTGGGAGAACAACAGAAAGACAGACCCCTCAGGAAGATTCTCAGGCCCGAGCTCTGTGTGTTCTAAACTCAGGTGTGCCCGACCTAAGGGAGTGGCCCAGGCTGTCCCTGGAGTTCCTGGTTCAAAGCTTTGACTGGGTCCCCTCATTTGGGGAAATGTCACACACTGCTGCCCAGCCACAGTGCTGAGCTGTGGGCAGTGAGTGCCTCGTGCAGTCTTGGCCACAAGGTCACTGCCAGAATCACAGTCCTGGCGCTGAGAAGTGCGGCCCTGCTGCTCTGAGAGCTGCTCACATTCACGGCCAATGAGCGGCACCGAGCACCATGTCCCTCCGCCCACAGTCCTGCCATGAGGGCCTCCCCCAGCCGCCCCCTGGGCAGCAAGGACCGGATGCCAAGGTTTCACTCCCTAGGGTTCCACTTCTCTAAGTCACTACTTCACGTTCCTGCATTCAGACTGGAGAAGGCGGCCTCCTACCCAGCCATGTGACCCGCTGCCCTGGGGCCCGTAGCCACCAGGGCAGGTGTGGCCACACCAGCAGCACAGCTGGATTGGGAGGAGAAATAAAGGCATTCTGGGGGTTAAGAAGGTGGGCGTGGGGGGCACCTGCCTGTGGAGACCTGCGCTCCCTGGCACATGGTAGTGTCTGGCGCGACCCTCTAGGGTGGACTGATTGCCCTTTGGGAGCTGGGGGAAGCTTCCAGAAGTCCTACTCAGTGTCCCCCTTGGCCAAGTGTTCCACCATCTCCCAGCTGGACGCCTCTGCTCCCTTCCAGAACCCTGCAGGCCTGGCTGGCTGAGGTCGGGAGGCCATTCTGCCCTGGCTGTGGTCACCCTTATCCCCACCCGCTGCACAGGTGAGGGAGAGGCAGACACCCAGCTCCTGGAGGCTCCTGCCCCTGGATTCTGGAGTCATGTCCTGGCCCTGTGGGATCTGAGCCTCCCCTGGCTTTGCAGCCTGGCTTGCCTGGATACTGTGCCCCTGAGCCCACAGAAGCGCATGTGGCCCCCTCTACCTGGAATGTTCCCTGGGAAGGGCCACCAGCCGCCCAGAGTGGCTGTTAGCACACTGAAGCATTTTCAGAATGTCAAAGTGCTTTTGAAAACATAGGGTCCCTTCCTGTGGCAGCTGCCGTGTCCTGTCCTGTCCCACGGATGGATGATGATTGGCCAGACTGATACCCTTGAGTGTGTCGATTAACCAGGAGGGGGTCCTCTTGCTGGGGGCAGTTACTGGTGGCCAGCTGTTCCCCTCCCAGTTCCAGGGCACACCCTGCTGCTTGTTCCCAAGGCAGGGGAGCCCGTAGGAGTGAAGCGATTAGAGGAACTCGGCTCTTGGCTCCTCTGAATGGGCCTCTTTCATCAGGAGATGCTGGGACAAGGGCCTTTTTAAGCCAAAATATCAGGGAGAGACAAGAGTGCTACAAGAGCCACTTACTCCTGGGTGGGACCGGCGTCTGAGGAGGATGCGAGCCTGCCAGCCAGCCTCTTGTCGCCCTTCCTGTGTTCCGCACGCGGAGTCGATGGCAGGAGCTCCTTGGGCGCGTGGTGGAAGGGGCGCTGGGGACGTGAAGACTGCAGTCATGAACCTTTTTTATTTGTCTGATTTCTGCGTCTTCCTTCGGCCAACTCAGTACCTCTACCGTTCAGAGGCTTCCAGCCCGAATTAGTACGTATGACCCGCTGGCCTCTCCCCGCCGCCTGCTCCCCAGAGGGCCCGAGCTGGGTGTGCCTGGGACTGGGGTTCTAGGCGCATCGGTTGAAGGTCTTGTCTGTCTCCGTGCTTTGTAGAAGCCTGTTCTTGTGGACTCTTCCCAAAACGTGTTTGTGTTGCAGAGATAAAGTCCTGAGCCCTGAGGAGGGAGAGGGGGCACTGGGCCTTTGTTTTTAATCCCTCACCAAGATTTTTCTCAAAGCCCAGGAGGAGTTTCCTGCGCGGCCCAGGCCTTCTTTAACTTCAGTCTGTCTTTTGGGAGCACTGAGACTTTTTGTGAGAAGGCCAGTATTTTGGTGGCTGGGATGAGTGGTCGGCTGGTTTGTGGCTTCCTTCCCTGAGTACCTTGCAGGCATTGTCCCCTGAGCTGCAGCCTGGCCTCGCCAAGGTGGATCTCTTAAGGTCCACTTCCCGACGGTCTAGGGCCTCGATGGCTGGGGCATGTGCTGCCCTCAGGGCATCCGCAGAGAGAACCACACCAAGCCCTGGCTGTAGGGGGAAGTGCTGTCACCCAGTGGAAGGCACAGGCTGCAGTGAGCTCCGGGCAGAAGCTGGGTCGGGAAGACTTGTGCATCTTGGTCCCATGGATCCGGGCCTGCCCACCCACCCTGCCTGCCTCAGCCCTGGGAGTCACCGTGTGTGGGGTCCTCTGCTGTGTCCCAGGACACGGGATCCTTACAGTCGCGGTCCCCTGCTCTCTGGATTCCCCTGCAGGGTTCAGACTCCTCTTTCCAGAGCCCAGGCCCCTCGGCCCGGTTCCCTGGCTCCTTGACTCCCAAGGCTAAGGTCACTGTCTGTGGTCGGCTGGCTGCAGCATGCTGGTCAGTGTGCATCCCCACCCTCGCAGACTCCAGTACAAGCAAGGGATGATGCCCTGAAGGAGTCCCAGCTCTGCTGCTGGCCGTGCTGATGCTGTTTTAATTTCCCCTGGGCTGGGAGTCCCTGGCCCAGCGCTTTGGGATTTGGATGAGAATAAGTAGTAAGTGATCCGTGTCTAAAAAAGAACGGTTCTGAACACAGACTTTGTTGTAAAATTCGAGGAAAGGAGAGGATGACAAGATTGAGGGGTAGAAGAATGTCAGGGGATCTGGAAGCAGCTAAAACGAGACACCCTGGGTGACACATTGGCCACACTGTGCTCCAAGCATGTGCCTTCTCCCAGGAGAGCGAGCAGGGAAAGGTGCTTCTCCTGCTCGCCAGGGTGGCACATGCCACGAGGGCCACTGGAGAAGCGCAGGGTGCCTGTGGGAAACGGGGCTGGGGAGTGCCCGTGTGACAGGGGACCTTGCCTCATGGCCACGCAGGCCCTATTTTTAGCATGAGAACTGAGCCAGAAAAGTTAAAGAATTTTACTGTGGACTTGACATCATAGAAGATGAGTTTTCCCAGGAGCTGCCGACTTGAACGCCAGCTCTTAGCCCTCAGAATTGCCCATTAGGCTTCGCAGGGTTTCGTTTTTGTTCTGTTTTATTCCAGGATTACACTGTTTGACCACTAACATTAGATGTCTGGGGCAGCAAAAGTGAGCTGACTGCCTTATATCACAGAAGATATCCTTGTATTTCTGCCAGGGATTAATTTGCTTAAGTCTAGGTTCTGGGTTGGTTTTTTTTTTTTTTTTTTTAAGAACTGCTTTTTCTTAAAACATTTTCTGGTTGCTTAAGAAAGAATTGCTGTATTTTTATATTCCTTATCATTTAAACTGTGATGTTTCACAAAATTAATAAAAATGATTTTTATTATAAAGTAGCATTCATATTTTATATTACTTTGAAAATTAAAAAGAAAAAAACAGCCATTTTAAAAAAGTTAATGTGTTCTGGGTGTGGTGGCACAGGCCTGTAATCCCAGTTACTTGGGAGGCTGGAGGCAGGAGGATTGCAAGTTCAAGGCCAGCCTCAGCAACTTGGTGAGACCCTGTCTCAAAATAAGATTTATAAAGGGCTGAGGGTGTTGCTCATCACTAAAGCACTTGCTCAGAATATGCAAGGTCCTGGGTTCAATTCCCAGTAATTCCCTCAAAAAAAATAATAATAATTTAAAAATAAAAAGGGCTGGGGATGTAGCTCAGTGGTAGAGTAACCCTGGGTTCAATCCTCAATTACAGGGAGGGGGGAGGATAAAAGTTAAAGTGTGTTTGGTTTGAAAAATTTGGAAAATAGTAAGTAGAAAAAAGATAATCATAGATGGTCCAATCCTTCAAAAACCACTGTAGGGGCTGAGGATATGGCTCAGTTGGTAGAGTGCTTGCCTTGAAGGTACAAGGCCCTGGATTCAATCCCAGCACCATTAAAAAAAAAATCATGATAAATAATTTGGGGGCCTGGAAGTGTAGTTCAGAGGTAGAGTGTTTGCCTGGCATGTGCAAGACCCTGGGTTTGATCCCCAGCTTAATAATAATAATAATAGGACTATTATTATTTATGGGTTAACGATAATAATATAATTGCTATTATTCATGGGTGTGTTTAATGGGTGATTTAAAGAGTTTATGGTATTTTTTAATAATTGATAGCAACTAATAGCTGGGGCTTTCCTCTTTTTCTGCACAGGCTGAAGATATTTTTGATAGACAGCTCATGAAAGTGAGATTTTTTAATTGTGACTTTTTTTTTTTTTGCAGTGTTGGAGATTGAACCCAGGGCCTCCTGCATGCTAGGCAGGTGCCCTACCACTGAGCTGCATCCCCAGCCCAGGTTCTAGATTGAATATTAATGTTGTTGCTACTTAAAAATAACAAAGGCCAAAGATTCAGTGACTCAGCTTGAGACTCTCCACAGGAGTAGTGGACAGAGCAGCCTTAACTAAGTTAAGTCACAGGTCACCCACTTTTCTTAAAATGCAAACAGCCTGTACAAGTTCAGTTTGATCTTGAATCCCATCCTGGGAAGCACCAGGAAGCAGGAAAGTTGTTAACAGGGAGTTGGAAGCAAAGATCAACAGTGGGAGTGCGAAACTCACAGAGGGGAGCAGCCTCTCCTGCTCACGTTGCTCTGTGTTAGAAAGCAGTGCAGGGAGCCCCTTCCCAGCGCCCTGTGGAAGGGGCTTTTGGTGCTGGCGGAGCCCACCCAGAGCTCTGGGTGTTCAGCAGCAGCATTATGTCATGAGGAACACTCCTCCAAAGCAAGCTTGGAGCAAAGGCGCAGCGAGGGACCAGGACTGGGGGAAGGGTCGTGACCGCAGTCCCCTGCCATTGGCGCTTTGTCTACTGTGTCCACTCAGAGCTTCTTCCCTGCAGCACGCCTTGGCTTTCCTCTAAATTCCCTCTAACTGTGCCTTGGTTTTACTCTTCCTAGCTTGAGCGAGAGCTTTTTCATGGTGAAGGGAGCAGCCCTCTTCTTACAACAAGGAAGCAGCCCTCACGGCCAGCGGAGTCTTCAGCATCCTCACAAGCATGCAGGTGATGGCTCTATGTTGACGCTCTTTAGTTGGGAATTCTTACCAGGTACAATGGCGCATGCCTGTGATCCCAGTGACTCGGGAGGTTAAGGCATGAGGATCACAAGTTTGAGGCCAGCCTCATCAACTTAGTGAGAACTTGTCTCAAATAAATAATAAAGATCTGGGAGTATAGTTCAGTGGTACAGTGCCCTTGGGTTCAGTCCCCAGTACCAAGAAGAAGAAGAAAGGAAAAAAGAAAGGAAAGAATTGGGACTCTTTTTTCTGAGTATCAGAGGAACCTTCCGTTGGTGGTGGTGGGCAGTTTGCTGGGTATCAAGGCCAGAGCAGTAGTGGAGCACAGGTTTGTAATGACTGGTGCAGGTGGAGGCTCAGGTGCTCTGGGATGGCACAGGGGGCTCGTGGGTCTGTCTATGTGAGAAGTCAGGTGGTCAGCAGCTCTCTGTTGGGATGTAAGATTTCCTGGGCACAGTGGATCAGGTACCTGCAGATTTTAAGATACTGTATGACTTTCCAACAAATGCACCAAAGTGCAGTATAGCCAGATGGCCCCTTGAAAATAAGCATCTGGGTGCCATGTAGCTGGTCTGGGAAATGCTCAGTTCTCGAAGCGTTTGAAGACTCTTACTCGGGGAATTTAAGATTCTTTGGGTACTGAGGCAGGAATTGCAGCTTCGAGGCCAACCTGGGCAACTTAATGAGGTCCTGTCTCAAAATAAAAAATAAAAAGGGCTGGGGATGTGTCTCTGTGGTAGAGAGTCTGTGTTCAATCCCAGCATATCTCTCTCTCACACACACACACACACACACACACACACACACACACACACACACAGTCTTCGGCTCTTGCCCTGAGAAGTCACTGTGGTGGGATATTTTTTTCTATAATGGACAGTTTGGTTTTGGAAATGGATAAAAATAATAGAGCAGGGATCCAACTGAGTGTTAATATAGGTCCAAAAGCAAACTACTAAGAAACGCCTGTGAACTAACAGGTGACTTGACTCTGAAACCAAAGGCAATCTGGAAAGAAACCAACAAGCCCTGTGCGCACAGTGGGTGTTCTGTACGCACAGTGGGTCTTGGTACCAAGTCCGAGCTCTGGGCCTGGCACGGTGTGTCTGTGAGCCGGAAGGGCCTGGCAGCCGGGGCCCTTTTCTTGTCACTTGTCCCCATTTTGTTTGCTTAACCTCTGGCCGTCCAGCTTCATCTCTGAACATCTAAGGTTAGAATTTCATACCTTGGAAGTTCTAGCAAATGCTATGTTTCAGTCGGTCTTTTGTTTTAAGCTAAAAAAATAATTGTCCTGTGCGAGAAGGTAGTGTGCTTTGTGGAAAGAATATTTGCTTTGGAGCCAGACAGACCTGGCTTCTGAACCAAGTCCTGCAGCTCCCTGGGCAGTCACAGTCCACCTGTGAGTCTCAGTATTCTAATCTTTATAGTGGACATCAAATACTTGAGACAGTATGGAAACGGAGAATATGCATTTAACACACCTGCCTTCTACCGGGATGATGTATATAAACATACAGTACAGACAATACAGACGGTTAAGCTGGGCACAGTGGCACGCCTGTAGTCCCAGTTTAAGGCCAGCCTGGGCAACTTAGTGAGACCCTGTCTCAAAATGAAAAAAGGGACGAGGCATATAGTGCAGTGGTTAAGCTCCCTTGGGTTCAATCCTTAGTACCAAAAGAAAAAAATTATATATGTATTTGTATATAAATGTATATAATTATGGCTACTTACACACACACACACACACACACATACACACACACACACACCTGTATGTGCAGCTATAATCACTACAGGGACTCCTCGCACAGTTAAACTACAGAACCATTATTCCTAAGTCTGCTAATTGTCCTGTCCTTTTAGGAGTGTGGCCACTGTTTCTGTCTTGACTATGACGCGTACACTAGAAGAGGTGGTCAGGCCTTGCTCACCGAGTACCAGCCGCTCCGTGCTGTGTGAGAGCTGCCTGTAGAGCGGGTGCAGGCACCTCCTGACCACACGAGGGCAGGGAGGCCAGGACAGCTGGTTGGCTCTGTCCCCTGGAGGTCTGGAACAGAGAGTGAGCTAAGGAAGGCCAAAGAGGACTCTCAGCAGATGACCCCAGACGAGCCTAGACTGGACTTTACACTGGTTCCTTTTTCCCTAGTATCGAGTCCCCCAGGATGAACTGCCCTCCCTCGCCATCACCACGCAGAGCTGAGGACAGTTGAGGGTTAATCCCCCCCACGGGAAAGCCACTCGCTATTCACTGGGTCCCAGCAGGCCAGGCCTTGGAGGCCCTGTCCAGAGCTGGTCTCCAGGCGGACAGCCTCTGGCTTTTGTGTGTGCCTGTTGGCCCGCGACTGGGATTCCTGTCTGTCAGCACTCTGCGCGCCCGCAAGCAGCCCTCTTGAGGAGTCTGTCTGTCCCACCCCCCACCCAGCAGGGGGCTCTGTGGTATCTTGGCATTGGAGGCAGGACAGGGGGTGCTGCTTCAGAGGAGGAAGGGGATGGGAGCTCCATGTCCTCTTGATAGGACCCGCTATCTGCAGTCATTCCTTTTGGTCAGGAATGAGTGCCCGCGTGGGCTGTTTCACTGTGGAATCCTGTTACTGGAGAGAACAGATAAAAGTGGCAAATTTTTTAAAAATGTTATTTATTGTGAAAAGAACTCTTAACACGAGCACCACCCTCCTGACTAGAGGGGCAGGTTTCTGATAACCTGACTCCTTGCTGAGACAGGAAGTGCGGTGTAGACATCATCTGTCTTTCTGCCTTAAAATAAAAAGATGCTTTTGCTAAAGGAAGAAATGTGACTTTTTTCCCTGGAGTGCTTGAGTCTGTAGACAGTGTTCATTCTCCCGGGGTTCTCAGGGTAGTCTTTAAGATAGGTGGTTTGCCGGGCACGGTGGCACACACCTGTCATCCCAGCGGCTCAGGAGGCTGAGGCAGAAGGATCGCCAGTTCAAAGCCAGCCTCAGCAAAAGTGAGGTGCTCAGCAACTCAGTGAGACCCTGTCTTTAAATAAAATACAAAATAGGGCTGTGGGTGGGGCTCAGGGGTCGAGTGCCCCTGAGTTCAATCACCGGAACAAAAAAATTAAAAAAATAATAAAATATTTGATTTTTAGCTGGGTATGGTGGTATACACCTGTGACTCAGGAGAATGAGGCAGGAGAATCATAGGTTTGAGGGCAGCCTCAAAAACTTAGTGAGACCCTATCTCAAAATAAAAAATTTAAAAGGGCTGGGGATCTAGCTCAGGGCTAAAGCACCTCTGAGTTCACTCCTCAGTACCATAGATAGATAGATAGAAAGATAGATACATAGATAGAAAGATAGATAGACAGATAGATAGATAGGGTTTCCTCTCTTTGGTGATGGGAATCAAACCCAGGGCTTTTGTGTGTGTGTGAGGCAGGTGCTCTATAAGTACTGTGGCTCAGTTATAGAGCACTTTTTAAAATTCAAGGTAATTCAATTTCTTTGGCGTGAAATTGATACAGACTTTTACGAGCTATTCCTTGCACCTTCTTCTAGATCAGCATCTTTGCAGATGAATCTTTTCTTAAGAAAGAGCCCCGTGAGAGGTTTCAGGAGCCTGTAAGCTCTGAAGAAAGCAGCGGCAGAGTCACACCTGCTCCGTCCTCGTGGCACACCTCAGTTACAGGGTCCCTGCCACCTGTGGACCCTGTGGACTTCCTGTACCCTGCCCTGTCAGGGCGGAGTGTTGGCCCCTGGAGTCCCCAGACAGGAGCATGGCTGAGACCACCCTGCACAGCACAGTGAGACCCCATCTCCAAAACAGACCTTCCCCTGGGTCACTGCCTCCGTCCCATGTAAGAAAGATAAAAGAGAGAGAGAAGATAATTTTTAGCAAGAAAAGGGAAAATGGCAGATGGTTGTCTCCGTGTTATTTCCCTGAGCGCCCAACTTACAGCAGCTCCCGATAACCGCGTAGACATTTCCCCTGGTAGAGAAATAATATCTGAGTGTTACGGAAAATGCAGAAGAGTTTGAAGAGGAATGATGGCACTTGGCTGTTTGGCTGTCCTGCTGCGTGACCCTGCCCGCCACTGCTGGTAGAAATACATTCTCTTTAGATTCGTCTGTATTTCCCAATTTTTCTATTAAAAGCACCCATGTTGCAAGCAGTTCAGAAAATAGAGCAGCATTAGCAACAGGATGGTGAGGGGCCAGTCACTCTAACATGCATGCGCATCAGGCGGAGAGGAGGAGCCCTCAGGACAGAGCTCTTGGGAGGCTTCTCCTGTCATATGGGTGGAGAAAGTTAACTTCTAAATCTTTCTCCAGGCCCCTAAAACCAGCCTTTCGAGGTTTCTTCCTGGAAAGCAGGTGGGTGACCTTCTAAACTTCCTTGTTGGCCTGACAGGTGACCTGCCCCAGCACCTGCAAGTCATGATCAACCTCCTGCGCTGTGAGGACAGGATCAAGCTGGTAAGCAGGGTGGAGAGCGCAGGTCCCTGTGTCCCACATTGTGACCACAGCCAAAGCCAAGGGGGCTGGGGTGCAGCTCAGGGGTGGAGGCTGTGTGGGCCCTAGGTTCAGTCCCCAGCGCCACCTGGAAAACAAACCCCAGAGGGGTCCGCAGAGGGCCACACCAGGGCTCCCGGCAGCCTTGCCTAGAACCTTCTTCCCCTGGACGTGTGCTCATTGCACATATTCTGGGTGTCCCCCTTGAGCCAGGACTGTCCCTGCTGCTCAGGAGACAAGTAGGACCTGGCTCCTGCCATCAACAGTGGCACCCTTCCTTCTTCCTTCACCGGGGGAGGGAGGTGCCCCTCTGGGAAAGGTCAGCGAGCAAGCGCGTCCCTGCCCACACAGGCCGTGCGCCTGGAGAGCGCCTGGACGGACCGTGTGCGCTACATGGTGGTGGTGTACAGCAGCGGGCGCCAGGACACCGAGGAGAGTATCTTGCTGGGAGTCGACTTTTCCAGTAAGGAAAGGTGAGTCCCATGGGGAGGCCGTTCCGCCTGGGAGAGGGAGAGATGCTGCTGGAGCAAGGTTTCCGGGTGTCCACGTTCAGCGGGGAGGAGTGTGGGAGTCCTGCAGAGGTCAGGGAGTGGCGAGGTCTGGGCTCTCGGGGGGCCCGTCAGATGCAGGCTGTGCCGTCCAGGGGCCGAGTCGGCTGAGGCACAGGAGACCTGCGCCGTGATGAGCGGCCGTCCGGAGGAGCCACCCGAGCCGGGCGGCAAAGAGGTTTGTTCAGCTCGCGGATTTAGAGGCTGGAAGTCGGTGACCAGGCAGCTGTTTGGCCTCTGGCGAGGGCCTCATGGCAGATGGCATCCCAGTGGTCAGAGCATGTGCAGAGGCTCCCGAGAGAAAGGCTTGTTCTTGCCGACTGTCCTGCGCAGACAGAACAGGTTCCTCCCTCTGGGGGCGGAGCCACGACCCTCCCCTGGGCCCCGCCTCTTAAAGGTCCACCACCTCAACTCTGCCACCCTGGGACCAGCTTCCAGCACGTGACCCCTTCAGGGAGAACTTCAAACTGTGTCCATGTCACAGCAGGAGCCACTTAGCCAGGAAGGAGGAGCCCGCTGTGGTGAGCGTGGAAGATGGCCCATGGGAATATGCGTTTGTGGCGTCTGTCCAGCTCTGGTGCAGCAGTGACAGGTCCTTGGTCAGCGGCTGTAAGAGAGGCTTGCAGTTTGGGTGGGTCAGCTGAGTTACATCACAACCCCTGTTGTGCATGTGAGGCGGCTCCCCTGGCCTGTCGTCCTGCATGGACAGGTGTGCGGGTCATTGCAACCCCAGATTCATAGAACCAGGTCAAAGCGACGTCATTCAGTGTCCACTAGTCTACCTGCCCATCAAGCACCTAGTGAGTTTTGTGTTCTTGTGTGTGTGAGACCCGGCTGGGCCCCAGGGAGGCCACAAAGCAGCCACACGCAGCTCTTGGTTTCACAGCACCACCCTCCAGGAGGGGGGTAGGCTTCCAAGGTGACATGGCAGCTGTTAAGCCAGACCTTACAGGACCAGCGGGCAGCCATCGAGGTCGGCCAGCAAGGTTGAGGTGGGTGGGGCCAGGAGGCCTGTCTGAGTTGTCACCGGCAGAGGCGGGGACACGGCAGTGAAGAGCCACAGAGTGGTGCAGCCTCGTCTTCTGAGCTGTTACAAGGCCCAGGTTGGTTCCCAGAGGCAGTTCCTTTGTTAGAGGTCTTGGATGGAAAGGGGGGAGCCCTCCTTCCCGTGCCTCGGGGCCTGATGAAAACACCTCCTGTGCGCACTTTCGGGGAGCAGGCCTCGGTGGCCTCATGCTGGTCGGGAAGTCTGGGTCTCGAAGATGTGTAGCTGCCGTCTCAGGAGGCGCACTCTGAAGGGCCACTGAGGGCGTGGGGTGGTGTCAGATGCCACCAGACAGGTGTCTCAGAAGTGGTCCAGGCCCACCTTCCCAGGGGGCTGTGTGCAGGCTGTTCAGTGGTTAGAGAGCTGGACGTCTCCCCTGGGCAGGGGCTTCTCTCATTGCGTGTAGTCTGTCTAGTGACCCTTTCTGATCCTGAACCGGAGTCTGCCTTCCATAGACCCTCCCCGTCATCTGGATCCTGACCAGGAGCTTCATAGGAACGCAGTCCTCCTCCTGGTCCTCTCTGTTGCTTGAGCTGGCCACCACAGTACAGTTACCAGATGCCCCGGGAGCAGCCCCCGTGGTCCTTCGCCCTCCTGTGGAGTAGGCAGCCCTATTCACACCCCACAGATGAGGGGTCCGATGCCAAGAGACCACACGAGTGCACGAGGGTCACCCCAGTGAGTGGCTGAGCTGGGCATCCATTCGTCCTTGCACTGTGGACCTGCCGTGTGGAGGACCGCACTCGTTATTCCCTGCCACACTGGGCTCTCCACACTCCACCCTGCTCGTCCATCACCTGCAGCTTGTCACCCAAGGACTTGTCAGTTCTATGTGCCAGATCTGCCAGGTGCCGGGGACTGCGTCAGGGGGCACAGGACAACAACCCGTGCCCCCTCAGCCCAGGATCATGGATGACGTTCGGCCTGCACGCAGGACCCCCTTTTGTTCTTCCCACTCGGGATGCTGCCCAGGCCCCTCCCTTCCGACGTGTCCTGCCCGTCTGTGCCTTCTTCCCTTGTCCTCCTCCTGACGCCCTGGCTCGGGTTCTCTGTGGGGTCCCCTTTCCCTGGGACTGTGGCCCTGTGCAAGCGTCTCCCTACCCTGTCTGGTCTCAGCTGCTGCCTCCTGTGGGCACCAGCCTCAAGGAGGAGCTGGCTTGTGGCTGGACAGGGGGTGGAGAGGCTGAAAGAGCAGGACTCAGGGAACTCTGGGCATGTGGGGGTCTGGGAGCTGCTGCTCTGTGGCTCCCACACTGCCCAGGTGCCCGCTGTCCTCCTGTGCCCTGGCCTGCAGATCCCCAGTCCTCACCAGAAAGGCTTCCCCTGCTGAGGTCACGGTTCTCTGGTTTTCCTAAATTCTTGCTGCGAGATTTCGTTTCCTTAGCCCAAAAGAGAGAAAGCAGAGCATCGCCTCCCGGGGACCTTCCTTGGTTCCTGGTGACAGGGTGTCCAGGCGAGCCGTGTTAGAAAAAATCGTGTGGAAACGATGGCTGGTGCGGCTGGCATTGTCCCCGGAGTTCTAGACCTGCTCATGCCTCCTTGGGAGGCCAGGTAGCCGCCCCAGGGATCCATGTCTGGTTAATTGTCATTTGAGATTCAGGAACTTCTTGAGAGCCACACTGCTGTCCTCTGTGCATTAATGTCTGCCTCCTGTAAAGGTCTGGGGCAGGCCCTTCTCCTGCTGGTGCCTCCATCCTGTGCAGGCCCAGCTGGCTTCTCCGTTTCCACTGCCTGGGCCCCAGGGTCTGGAAACCTGCTTTCTGGTAGAGTTGCCACCCCCCACTTGACCCTTCAGCGCGTTCTTCCTCTAGGAAGACCCCTCCCCAGCTCCCATGTTATCCAATCCATAGATCCACCTCTGCTACAGAGACTTGGTGTTGGTCACTGTGGGACCAGTGGAGGCACAGTGGCACCTACAGGGTGTTAGAGGAGTTGTGGGGCGGTACAGTCTTGTGGTCCCCTGTCTGTGCTCTGGGCTCTAGTTCAAGGCTGTGAACAGAAGTCCTCTGTGGAGCCGGCACAGTGGCTTGGAGGCTGAGGCAGGAGGATGGTGAGTTCAAAGCCAGCCTCAGCAAAAACAAGGCCCGAAGCAACTCAGGGAGACCCTGTCTATAAATAAAATACAAAATAGGGCTGGGGATTCGGCTCAGTGGTCGAGGGCCCCTGAGTTCAATCCACAGTTACCCGCCCCCCCAAAAAAAACACAAGTCCTCTATGGACTCTGACTGCTGCCAGCTTCTTACCCTATCTGGGCCCAGGGGAGGACGGTTGAGGTGCCCCTTGTCCCATGCAGGCTGTGGGGGTTTCTGCCTGCCCTGGAGCCCCTCCTGGCCTGGGCTGTGTGTGGCTGTCTGTGCTGTGACCTCTGTTCTTTGCTAGTCCCTGGCTTGTGTGCTCAGTGCCAAGGCCTGCCTTTCCAGGATGGCTGGGTATCGGCCCTTCCTGGCCCTGGTACAGCTGAGTATTAAGGACATATGGTGAGCCCATCGAGATTGGGCAGGGCTGCTGGGGCAGAGTCAGAGAATCGGCTCGGCCCGAAGGCACTTGAAGGCCTTGAACAGATGTGGAAGCAAGTGGTCAGGAGGAGGGGCCTGCGTGGTGGGGATGCTCTGGAGGAGGAACTGGCCTGAGTCCCAGAGCCCCTGGTCTGGCGGAGTCAAGTTACTCCTCAAGGGGACTGTTGAGTGGCAGACGCATAAGTCCAGGATCCTGGTGGCTAGCAGGGCTGGCCCCTGGCACGGTCGTGGCCGTTTCGCACAAGCTGTTTTAAATGCCCCGAGAGTGTTCCTGGTGATCTGAGGAGCCCCTCTGATAAGTGTCTTCGGTCTGCTTTTCGGTGGCGCCAGTCGCTAAAGTTGACAAGTATCATTTCCCTGTTGGGATGGGCAAGACAAAACCAGATTCAGCCAGTTTGTAAGGTGGCAGCTGCACAAAGGGCGGTAAACAGAAGTCTGAAAGTACATTAATAGTAAGGCGGGCACTCGCCCACTCCTGCCCCCCAGGACAGTGGAGGCTGGGGCTGGCTCTGCCACCTGTCCAGGGGCCCTGGTTGGATGTGGCCCTCTGCCAGCACCGTGCCAGCGTCAGTGGCTTCTCCGATGCAGTGTGGGTGCAGACCAGTCGTCTGCTGCCCATACCCCACACGAAAATGGTGCGGCCATTGGTGCTCCCCTAGCAGGGCCACCCAGACCCCTGTCTTCTAGAATCCAGTTATAGAGGACTCTTCCCGGGCACCGAGGACTTCTTCCAAATACAGGCCCAGCAGCCCATCCCAGTCGGGTGGTGGCTGTCTGGGAGCCGGACAGGCTGGGTAGAGGGACTGAGGGAACACTGGGCCAGTGCCTGGGTGGACACTGACTCCAGGTGTCTTCTATCCCCTGATGTAGCAAAAGCTGCACCATCGGGATGGTCCTGCGGCTGTGGAGCGACACGAAGATCCACCTGGATGGAGACGGGTAAGGACCGCTCAGAAAGACCCTCTCCAGTCGGCGCTGAGGCCCGGCCGGCCGGCAGCCTAGGGTCGACTTTATTAGGAGGGTAGTGCTGGGGTCCAGGGAGCCCCAGGGGAGCGTGCGTTCTGGAGGTTCTCTGAGGGAGCTCGCGTCAGGCAGCATCGGAAGCCTGCCACAGGTCGGCTGGGTGACTGCTCAGGAGCAGCCATCCGCTGCCCTGCAGCCACTCCCCTTGGGCTCAACGCCGGGCCACCCTGTCAGCTCCCAGAGGGGTGTGATACAGCTGGAGTCCCGTCTTGGGGTGCCAGGAAGACACCTGCCAGTTTGGGGACTTCAGAGGAGGACGCCAGGGGCCTGGGCAGGTAGACAGGGCTAGAGGCTCCAGGCACCTTCTCTCCTGGGGCAGTGAGGGCCTCCGGATGTGCGGACAGGAGGGAGGCGGGTGGTCACTCCTGCACATGGATTCTAGGCTGCTGAAGTGGCTCCCTGGAGAGGACTGGAAAGGACAGACATTCGTTGGGTTGAAGTAGTGGGATCATAGGATACTTTTCCTTTTTAAAATTTTGTTTTCCATTAATATGTTTTCATGTAATTAAAAAAAAATATCGATGAGTGTGTGGTGCCAGAGGGAGCAGGTAGGCAGGGTCAGTTATTGAGACAGATGACACCAGGCACTGTCCTGGCCCCGCATGGTGATGCACTTTGAGTTTTGGGAGTGTCATCCTGCTGGGTGGGGAGCACCCCGTCCTGGCTTGCCTTTGGCTCACCTCGCACCACGCCCGACGGTGGAGCGTGCTCTTCCTCAGTCCCTGGCAGGGCTGCTCTGCCGCCGGCGGGGATCTGACCACAGGGTCCGACCTTCCCCACAGCTGCCCTTCTCCTTGTTCTCGTCCTCAGTGGGTTCAGCGTGAGCACGGCAGGGAGGATGCACATATTCAAGCCCGTGTCTGTCCAGGCCATGTGGTAAGTGTGTCTTCAAGGACCCCATCCCCTCGGCAGGGTGCTTCTAGCTGACACCACGAACAGCAAGACCCCCATTCAGCACACACCTGTGATCCCGGGAGGCTGAGTTCAAAGTTCAAAGCCAGCCTCAGCAACTTAGTGAGGCCCTAAGGCCTCACTAAGGAACTCACTAAGGAACTTAGCAAGACCCTGTCTCAAAATAAAAAAATTAAAAGGGTTGTTCATGAGGCTCAGTGGTTAACTGCCCCTTGGTACCAAAAAAAAAAAAAAGAAAAGAAAAGAAGAATGAAAAACTCTTTCTGAGGAACCTATTGGGGAGGAGGAATGGCAAGGGTGGACGGCGTCACGGTATGTGATGTGCCTGTGAGGATCGCCACAGTGACACGTTGTTGGGATCAAAGCCTGTATGACAGACATCACTAGTAAAGCAATGAAAGAGAAGCCCTGCTCTCCAGGGCCCGAGCTGGGGCGTGCCCAGCAAATAGGCTCAAGAGGGCCGTGCCATTGGAACCTTGTTTTAAGTGTATAATTCGGCGGTATAAAGCCTCTTCTCGGAGCTTCGTGGCCGTCCCCACTGTCCGTCTCTGGACTTGGTCCTCATCACAGAGGGAGCTCTGTGCTCGCTCCTCCTTCCCCAGGCCTGGCAACCCACATTCTTGTTGCCCCAGTGGATTTGTCCTTTCTAGGAAATTCATAAGCAGAATCTTCTGTGTCCCACTTGCACTTAGCCGTGCTGTTTTTAGGGTCATTCATGTTACCGAGTCTGCAGAATTACCTTCTTTTTATAAGCTGAGTACTGTTCCCTGTGTGAAGGCACTGGTGGTGTTCACGTGGCCAGCTCCTGCCCACGGAGGGTCGGTTCAGCTGCGTGACGGTTCCCGTGAGGCCCTGCTTCCCGTTCTTTTTGGTTTTTACCCAGAAGTAGAATTGCTAGGTCACGGGTTGTGTTGACTTTCTGGGAAAGCACCAGTTCTTCCCACTGTGGCTGAGCTGCTCACGTTCCCATCAGCAGAGTGCAGAGTTCCCATTTCTGCATTTCTTTATCAACTCCTGTCATTTATTTACCTGTTTATTGAGTCAGGGTCTTCGGATGTTGCCTAGCCTGGTCTTGAACTCCTGATCTTCCTGTCTCGGCCTCCTGGGGAGCTGGGGTTATCAGTCATTTATCTTATTTTATTCTTTTAATTGGTTGTATGGACGCATGTCTGTGTGTGTGGGAATTAAACCCAGGGCCTTACATGCTAGGCAGGTGCTTTACCACAGGACTAAACCCTAATGCTTTGTATTTTATTTTTGAGCCAGGGTCTTGCTAATGCCAACGCTGGCCTTGAGCTTAAAACCCTCCTGCCTCATTCTCCAGGTAGCTTGGGTTATAAGAGTGTACCACCAGGCCCGTCTCACCAGTTTTTACATCTTATACTCACCGTCTTAGTAGCTGTGAGGTGGTACCTCGCTGTGGTTTTGGTTTGTCTTCTCCTGAGGATTCTTGAGCATTTTTCATGCACTTATTTCCCATTGGATGTCCTCATCGGAGGACTGTCTGTCCCAGTCCTTGGCCTAGATGTTTCTATATTGTCATCTTGCCTCTCTCTATGGGCTCTTGGCAATAAAATGTCACCTGGCATCAGTCCACTTAATCCCCGTGCCTGGCACGGAGTAGCTGCTCAGCGTGTGCAGTCGAGGAGCAGCACTTTGCTGGACATGGAGCATCTGGTGGGAGTGGTCACAAGACTGACCTGTTGGGTTGGGGGCCACAGCACATGGACAAGTTACATGATACCTGGAGCGCTGGGCAGGTTCTCCCAGGTGTTGGGCCACTCCAGGGCCCAGGTCTGCGTGGGCCCAGGGCCTCCACGGACACACCACTTGGGCTGAAGGTGGCACTAGGCTGCTAGGTGCCTTGGAACAGCTTGTCCTAGAGCCTTCCTCTCCGTTGGAGGGTCTCACTCCACAGGTGCAGCCTGCTCAGCCCAGCGCCTCTCCAGATGAGCTGGGAGAAGTTCAGGAGGGGCTAGTGGCATCAGAGAGACGGGCTCTGCCCACGGTTCAGGTTAACTGTGCTCTTCTCAGGGGCAGTGAGTGACGCAGAATTCTCCTGTGGGCCCCAGGTTAATGCCATGCCACATGCTTTACCTCCTTTGTGACCATACCACAGTCGATTCAGGATCATTTTGGAGGGAGAAAATCATGAAATTGTAGTTCTGGTCAATAAACCAATACATGCCCCAGATGTCTCTGTGTGGCCCTAAATAATTTACTCTCCAGGCAAATAAAAAACAGGCCCACGCAATTTTTCAAAAACTCTGGGACCAGAACTAAATTTAGTAACATTCAGCTCAGGTTGATCTCCTCAGCCAGCCTGGGGACAGTGGACCAGATTGGGTGTCTTACACCCGAGGCAGGGTCACTCTGGCAGTTCCCTTTCAGGGCCTCTGCCACCCTTTGCTGGTTCCTAACTCGCCCCACTGCGGAGGACCTTCAGCCTGGGCTTCTGGTGGACGAGGTGAACTACATTGTGGGTGTCCCTGTTTCTGCCCCTCCGCCCCCCACACCTCCTCTTCCTCTGGCTTCCGCATCCAAACGGGCTGCTCTGCGCCTGTCCTCAAGGAGTCTCCCTCTGAGTGATGGTCACATGGAGGGCGACCATGTGGGATGCAGCCAGATTTCCTTCCTGCGGTCAGGGCTCCTATGGTCCCCACACTCAGGGTCACTGTGACTTCCGAGGTCACCCGTGATTCTGTGGTTAATCAGTGGAACGTAAAGCAACGTGTGAGCCCGTGTGTTTGGGAGTCGGGAAGTTTGGGCTTGACTTTGGTCCTGTGGTGCTGGTGGAGCCAGGGCCCTGCACGTGCTCCGCTGAGGTACCTCCTGCCCCTGGGTTTCTGTTCTGGTCTGTCTTTCCCTGTTTCCGGACAGTGAAGGACATTCCCCCACTGTGGGCTCAGCAGAGGTGAATGTGCAGAGGCTAGCTCTGGGACCTGGCAGCTGTCCGTCTCCAGCTGCCACGTGTCACCCACACGCCCTCGTATGTAAGCAGGACTCCAGGAGCTAAGTCCTTGTGCACTGGCCCACGCCTGCCCTGTGAGCCCTCCTGGGGAGGGAGGCCGTGCTTCTCCTGGTTTCCCGACCTGGCCTTCTCCCCACCCAGGTCTGCCCTGCAGGTGCTCCACAAGGCCTGCGAGGTGGCCCGAAGACACAACTACTTCCCAGGGGGTGTGGCGCTCATCTGGGCCACCTACTACGAGAGCTGCATCAGCTCTGAGCAGAGCTGCATCAACGAGTGGAATGCCATGCAGGACCTGGAGTCCACGCGGCCTGACTCCCCAGCCCTGTTTGTGGACAAGTATGTGCGGCACCTGCCCAAACACCTCCCTGCAGCCCTGGGCCAAGCATTCCCTTCCCAGAACCAGCTTCTAAAATGGGGCTTCTAGGAGCCGGGCATTTTGGTGCAGCCTGTCATCCCAGCAGCTTGGGAGGCTGAGGCAGGAGGATGGCGAGTTCGAAGCCAGCCTCAGCAAAAGTGAGGCCCTAAGCAACTCAGTGAGACCCTGTCTCTAAATAAAGTACAAAATAGGGCTGGGGTGTGGCTCAGTGGTTGAGGGCCCCTGAGTTCAATCCCCGGTACCAAAAAAACAAAACAGCTTCTAACCTGGGACCCCAGGAAGCCTGGCTGTGGGGAGAGTTTGTGACACACCTTAAAAATCATAGATGAATTTGGGGAGTGTACTTCTGGGGAACGAGTCCTCGTTTCCATCAAACCCCCAAGGGAATGAGCTGCCCCTCTCACCCCTCCTGGGTGATGCTCTGTGTCTGGGCCTTTCCTCTGTCGGTTGCAGTTCCTTAAGTCCCGAAAGTCACTTCCTCTGCTCTAGGAGAGTCATGAATGTGACCCCTGCTTCCTTGGGTCCTTCTGTCCTGAGGGCAGCACCCGTTGGCAGCAGGGACAGTGAAGCACGTGGCCTTCGTGTGGCCGCCGGCGCACCACTGGGCCTGAGTCTGATTTGAGAGGGGAGCTGTTCCCTCCTGGGTCAGGGCCCACTCCCCTGCGTGTTGTGTCCCTGGGACGCTGCATTCTGAGGACTGTACAGAGCAGAGTGGCCAGATGACTGGAGGCCCAAGGAAATGGAAGGGACGGGGAGAAGGATCGAAGCTTAGGGATTTGACGGGGCCTTGTGGGAAGAAGGGTCACCCTGGCCCATGTGGCCCAAGAGCTGTTCACGCTGGGCTGGGCTGTGGCGGAGGCTGGGCTGGGAGGCCTGGACCTTCACTGTGAGAAGGAGGTGAGGAGCACGGCCTGCCGAGGCCGCCCACCCCATGTGGCCAGGCAGAGGCAGAGACCCAGTGGTGTGGGACTCCTCCCCTGGCAGGTCCAGAGTCCTGCTCTAAGAGTCTGACACCGACGTGGGGCCTGAGTGAGTGGGTTTCCAAACCTCCCGATGTGCTGTCCAGGTGGGCGCCAGTGCCTCTGTGACCCGAGAACATGCACACCCAGAGCCGACCTCGCTAGTCCCTGCCGCATTCCTGCGACCTGGGACCTGAGCATCCGTAGCCGCGCACCTTCCTAAACGGCATTTCTCTCCAGGCCAACTGAAGGGGAGAGGACCGAGCGCCTCATCAAAGCCAAGCTGCGGAGCATCATGATGAGCCAGGATCTCGAAAACGTCACCTCCAAGGAAGTAAGAGCCCTCTTCCCAGAGCTCCTTCCCCGGCCGGGGGCGGGCAGCGGCAGCAGGCCAGGACCTGTTCCCAGACACACTCCCCTCGGCCCCCTTCTGCCCTGGCAGCAGGGCCACCATTTACTGGCTGTGGGGCGTGGACGTGTTTCTGGAGTCCTCAGAGCCTCGCCTGTGTCACCTTTGGTCACGATTCCATGAGGTGCTTGGTTTCACCCGGAGCGTGTAGCTTAGGCCCTCTCCCTCTCCGCCCCCGCTGCCCTGTGTTGTAGAGAGCCAGCTGACTTCTTCCTGCTCGGGATCGCAGCCGACCAGCAAGGTGTCTTCTGTCCGCCTTTTAATGTTTTCCTGATCACTTTTAAAATTCTGTCTGTTGCTTTTTATCTGTTGTTCAAGGAATGCAATGAATTATGACAGGCAGCTTAAACTAGGTGTTTTCTTTCTTCTTTTTTTTAGTACTAGGGATTGAATCCCATGTGTTAGGCAAGCACTCTACCACTGAGCTACATCCTTTTTAAATTTTTAATTTTGACATGGAATCTTGCTGAATTGCCCAGCCTGTCCTCAAACTTGCAATCCTACTGCCTCAGCCTCCCAAGTAACTGGAATTACAGGTGTGCACCATTGTACCTGGCTCAGTTAATATGTTTTCAGAAATCATGTGGCAATGCCTTCCCAAACAAGAAGAAACTGACTTTAGGTTCTCATTAAGATGTGTTTTGTTATTTAATTATTAAAGTATAAGTGGTTGGCCAGGTGCGGTGGTGCATGCCTGTAATCCCAGTGGCTCAGGAGGCTAAGGCAGGAGGATCGAGAGTTCAAAGCCAGCCTCAGCAACTTAGCAAGGCTCTAAGCAACTCAGCAAGACCCTGTCTCTAAATAAAATATAAAAAAGGGCTGGGGGTGTGGTTTAGTGGTTAAGCACCCCGGGTTCAATCTCTGGTACAAAAAAAAAAAAAGCAAGTGCTTCAAACTCAGAAAAGATCCCTTGGAAATCACATTCCTTATTCAAAATAATAAACGCCCCCCAGTAGGGTTTACCTGGAGGCTGGGTGATCCACATCCCTCCCACCACATCTGGGTGCTGTGGATGCCTTCCTCTGGACACAAAAAAGAAAAATGCACCCTTTTTGAAAACTGCTTCAATTTGTTTAAATTAATCACGTTTAAAGCTAATTATGACTTAATTGTTTGGAGGTGGGCAACTTTTTGTTTTTTTTTTTTCTTTTTTTTAACAAATCACTTTTCCTGATGTTCCCACGCCACAGATCCGTAATGAGTTGGAGAAACAGATGAACTGCAACCTGAAAGAGTTCAAGGAGTTCATAGACAACGAGATGCTGCTCATCCTGGGGCAGATGGACAAGCCCTCCCTCATCTTCGACCACCTTTATCTCGTAAGAGGCACAGCCGTGGCAGTACCGGTCTGGGGTCATAAGGCAGACCTCCTGGTCTGGCGCTCGCAGCAGGTCAGAGGGAGGAGGCAGGCAGGATGCCAGCTCAGGCAGCCCCACCCTGGCTCGGACCCCCTTGCCCAGCTGCAGCCCATGGTCTGCCCTGCCGGGTGTCTGAGAAGTGGCTCCAGCTGAGCTGCGGGGACTGGTCTGGGCACACCTGGCAGTCACCTGGCGAGTGTCTTCAGACCTTCAGGGCTCTTTGTCTTCATTCACTAACACACAGGTCCCACCCAGATACCCTCGAGTGGTTCATGGGCCATGAACACCCAGCTGGTGGTGGGCACGTGCCCACTGAGCCCCAGCACCATGCCCAGGCATCCCCAGTGGGGCAGGATGGTGCTGATGGCTCCTCCGCTGCCCTGCCCGCAGCCCATCAGGAGGGTCGCCTGGTCACAGAGGCTCTGCACAGTGTGTGCAGACTCCCCGCCCCTCCGGCCTCTGCTCCCAGGTCCCCACGCCGTGAGTCTCCACAGAAGGCAGCTGGCCAGTGTTCAGCGTCGGGGACTCTGGAGGACGGCCTTGCTAAAATTAGACGGGAGGCCGCGGTGGAATGCGAGTCGGCCCAGAGGGCCGGACCCTCCTGCCTCACCTGCTCTGTGACCTGGAGCGAGTCTCTTTCCCCTCTTTTTCTGGATCCTTCATGATTGTGAGGATTCAGTAAGATGCCTGTTGAAGGCACTGAGCGCCGTTCCCTTGGACACTGTTGTACACAGCAGCCATGAGTTGAGGAAAAGCGCTCCCGGGAAGCCAAGGGGGGGTCCTGCTGCAGACGCCAGTGGCTGCTCCCCGCCTGCAGGAGTGGCCCGAGCTCTGTGTCTGTCAGGATAGCTGCACAGATAGGGAAGGCGCGGTGCTCACAGGACTAACCCTCCTGTGCTGGTGGGCTTCCTATTTGTGTTTTAGACAAGTGATGGGTGACAAGGGGGCTCTGCCTGGGAAGGTCCAAGGGAACGCAGGGCCCTGACCCTGTCCTGGTGAAACTGACATGGGCCACTCCCCCTGTCTCTCCACAGGTGGTGGTCACAGCTAGGGGGTGCTCATGGCCTTCTCAGAGCCATGGTTATTTTTTCGGTGTGGTTTGGTACTTTATGTCACTTTTTCCATGAGAGATATTAAAGGAATTTTTATGGTTGAGACTCCGTCAAATACCAGAGTGCAGCCGCCCCGCACACGGCCAGCCGGGCCCCATCCTGGAGGGCCCTACCAGGAGCTTAGGACAGGGGCATCAAGGAGACTGAGCCCTGGGTGCCTCTGCCCTCTGTGACTCTGTGTCCTCCAAGTCACCTAAGAACAAAGTGGTCATTTTTGCTTTTATTCCCTTTCATGTTGTTTGTGTGTCACAGGGTTCATTTTTGAACAATGGCATTTTTATTTTTAAAGTATTAAAAAGAATTAAATGAACACATGTTGTAGAAAGTTGGAAAAATAAATCCGTCTAAAGAAGAAACAAGCACTCCTACACCAGAGCTGGTCTCTGAGCAGTCTGTGTCCACTTCCCATCCTCTGTGTTTGGGGCATCTGGGGTTTTTCGGGGCTGGGCCTTGAACTCAGGCCCTGCGATGGGCCTCTTTCACGCCTCCCAGCGTTTCAAACACGAGAGGGAGATGGTCACACGGTCGATGTGCCCCTGTGCTCTGCTTTCCTTTGTATTTTTTGTTTTCCTCACATGGTATTTCCCTGGGCCGCTGAACAGCCTCCAAAAGGCTGCTTGTCTTGAGGGCCCTGTTGTAAGGAGATCACTGCTCTGTCGGCCTCTTCCTGTTGGACCTGTGGGCTGTTTCCACTGTTCGTCCTCTGAGTTCTGACCGTTTCCTCAGGGAGCTTTCTGTAGGTGGAATCACTGGGTCAGAGGATAGGAACGTCTAAACTATTGCCAGAATGCTTCCCAGAGAAGGGACACGATTCCCACTGTCCTTAGTGGTGAGGAGGTCACGGTCCCGGCCTCCGTGACAGGGCCCCACCATGGCCCCCGGGAAGGAAGCAGTTTCCCGGACTCGCTCTCTCCCCAAGGCCAAGGGCCACCCTCCCCCTCACTGTCACCTCTTGATCTGTGAGGGCCTTGGGAACCCACGGGGGTATGAGCCTCGTCCTCTGGTCTCTGAGGCCGGCAGACCCACCGTCCAGGGTTGGGCACCTGCGCCTCCCACAAGCAGCTCCGGGGCTAACTGCGACACTCACGGGGTTTGTGTGATCTGTCCCCCAGGGCTCTGAATGGAATGCGTCCAACCTGGAGGAGCTGCAGGGCTCAGGGTGAGTCTGCTCCCCTTGTCTTCCCCTGTCCTTTCAGGCAGCTTGGGAATGCCCGCCTCTATTGCCGAGGTGGCCCGGCTCCCCTCTAATTGCCTGCACCCTGGTCTCTGAAGTGGCTGGAGGGGCTGATTTGCATAGCTAAACAGATGTGCTTCAAAATGCCATGTTCTGAATAATTCATGGATCTGAGATCTTGTGGAGTCTGTGATTGTGTGGGTCACGAGCAGCCTCCTAAATCACACTCCGGTGGCACGTCCGAGAGCCTAGACCCGACAGGCCCTGGACTCACCCTGCCCCGCCGCCCTGCGGAGCTGCTGCTGCTCCTTGCAGGGCCGCACATCTCTGTGGGCTGTCAGGCCACTCAGCAGCCCTGACACCTGGCCCATTCCTGGTTCTATTGGAGGTTACACCTCTGGGCCTGGTGGGAATCTTGCAGCTCAGTAGCCAGGGTCTCTGAGAATGCTCAGCAATAAGAGTGAAAAATGTTTAAACCTAGACCTTCAAGAACACATGTCTGCACTTTAAAAACAACAACAACAACAACAACACAGCCACAAAATCACCATTCTCTGGGTCTGACATGATGGCATTCTTAAATTACCACATTTGAAAACCAAGACTAAACAAATCTTAAAATATATCTTTAGAACTACTGGTTAAGATGGGTTCTTTCAACAGAGTATTCTTCAAATGTGGGCTGGGACTCTATGCTTCTGTCTTGCTGGGAATCAATAGATGACTCTTAAAGCTCTTCGAGTGCATGATAAGTATTCACTTAAGAAACTGATTTGAGATGTTTTCTAACTCCCGAAGTTATTTTGGTCTTCTAGAAGTGAAAATACTGATTAGGTTAGAGAACTACAGAATCTGGGTCAGCAGACTCCTCAGATTCTTATTTATTTATATCTTGCCTTGTTTCAAAAGGCTTTAAGACTGTTCCCAAGAACTTAAATAATGGATGGTTTTATTCTGCTTTTTAACTATTTAAGACTGTAGATTGTTGGGAGATTGGTTTTTTAATGCCACTGTATACTACTGATAGTTATAAATTTTGAAACTTTAAGGAATTTAGAAATGTATTTAAGAGACATGTTTACTTTCCATAGTTAAGATTGCTAAGCAATGCTTCAATGCTTCAAACTGAGTTTTCTTTTTTGTAAGACCTTTCTAATCAAGGTACTTTTTGGTTTTGTGTGTATATGTATAATACATTCTCATTTTGTACAGGAAATACAAAAAAAAAAAATTCCCAGTGCTGGTGATTGAACACAAGGCACCCTACCACTGAGCTATACCCCCACCCTTTTCTATTTTGAGACAGGGTCTCACTGAGTTGCCCAGGCTGGCCTTGAACTTGCCATCCTCCTGCCTCAGCCTCCTGAATCTTGGGGATTGCAGGCAAGCGCCAGTGCACCTGACAGAAATTCAATATCAAGGAAAAGCAGACGTCCCACCAGGAGCATGTGCCTCATGTGTATTTCTTTTTCTCTGCTGGTGTTGTGTTGCTTTATTTTCGTGGTCCCTCCTTCTCATCCTCCACTTTTTGTCTATCTGTCTCACTGCAGGGTTGACTACATTTTAAATGTCACTCGAGAAATAGACAATTTTTTCCCTGGCTTGTTTGCATATCATAACATCCGAGTGTACGACGAGGAGACCACGGACCTCCTTGCCCACTGGAACGAAGCATATCACTTTATAAACAAAGCCAAGTAAGTGGGCGGGGCCTGGTCTGAGGGGGCGTGGCTCCACAGAGGGCGGTGGCTGGGGGGGCTGGGGGGTGCTGGGCAGGCCTCGAGGCTGCTGGCTGAGGACGTCTTCTTGTCCCTGGGACTTTTGGTGTTGGCTGCAGAACCCCAGGCACCAGAGGGGACAGCGGGTGCTCGTCTCCTTTGGGTTGCTCTCTGGCAAACTCCTTCTGTCCTGGTGGCATGACCCTGTTGTCATCTGTGGTGTTCTAGGCAAGGACTCAGCACCAAGTGCATGTGGAATCTTCCCCTGGGGGCGAAGAGCTGGGGAGGGTGCCCTCAGGGCTCTGTGTGACTCCCCAAGTAAGGTATTCCTGTGTGCCTAGCACAGGCGACAGGGGTGCCGGCCCGCTGCCCCAGACAGGGTTCCCACCATGTTCCCACTCTCCTTCTGTCCCTGCCTTATTCCCCTGCAGAACAGCTGTCTTACCGAAGTCCACAACAGAGAGGGCTCCCCCTTGGATATGCTATCAGGGAAGCTCCCCCTTCCCTCGTACCCCTCCAGCCAGAGCTGCACGTCCGTCCTTACCAAATCCTCGCTCTCTTTAAGCCTGGGGTACAGGAAACAGCACCTGCTCCCCCGGGGTCGCCTTCTGGACTGATGAGTTCGGCCCCTACAGCCAGGTGTCCCCCGGTGTTCTCCAAGGTGATGTGTAGAGCGTCCCAGTTCCTGGCCCTTCTGTAGCTGTCACTCAGCCGCACCTGGGCCTGAGCTGCCTCCTGGCCCGCGGCAGGTCGGCCCATCTCTGTCTTGGCCGAGTCCGGTTCTTCTTGCCCCTGGGCCTGTGTCCGGCGAGCATCTCACTCTCCCCGTGCAGTTCCGCTTGGCTGACCCCGTTTTCTACAGCAGCTCATTCACTGTCTGCGTTTGCGGGAGCAGCTGAGTGGCTTGTGTGGCCATCTGCTTAGCTGCCCGGTCCTTCCCAGGAAAGGGCTTTCGGTGGCCAGCCTGTCCCAGTGACTGCAGGATCCACTTTATGTCTGAAAGCAGCTGCTTTTGGAGCTGTCCCACAGCAGGCCAGGGCCAGTTGACCCTGACTTCCTCCTGTGTGCTAGTTGGTTTTGCAGCCAAGTTATTTCCCTTAGAGGGCGTATGGAATCTGCTCCCCGACATTCCAACAGGATTTGTGCCATGAGACAACTTTGGGGCTTAAAAATTCAGTGGGTAAAGCCCAGAGAAGGCAGTTGCTAAAGACTCCAGTACTTTGCTCACACCACTCCCTCCCCTACAGGCGGAACCACTCCAAGTGCCTGGTCCATTGCAAAATGGGGGTCAGCCGCTCGGCGTCCACCGTCATCGCCTATGCCATGAAGGAGTTCGGCTGGCCCCTGGAGAAAGCCTACAACTACGTGAAGCAAAAGCGAAGCGTCACACGACCCAATGCAGGCTTCATGAGGCAGCTGTCTGAGTATGAAGGCATCCTGGACGCAAGGTGGGTGCCCCCTGGAGAGCAAGGGCAGGGCAGACTGAGCACAGCACCCTGTGGCCACACTGGCCAGCCTGCTCCGCGTCCCAGAGTTCTCCCGTTGGCCAGCGGCTTCGGCAGCTGTCAGTCTGCCTCGCAGGGGGAGCTGGCTTGAGAGAAACGCCATTGTTTGGGATTTGATGAGTAGTTTCCAGGAGGGGTCTGTTTTGGCTTTGTTGGCGCGCACACAAAGCTTGTTTTGCTGCTGGAGGGAATGGGGCCTAACTTCCCATCCAGGGCCCGGCCTGCTGCGTGGTGGGCATGTGCCTGTCCTGTTTCCTGAGCACCTGCTTTGTGCCAAGGCCTGCGAGCCAGTCTCCCAGCAAGGCAACCCCAGGACAGCCCCAGTGACTGGCCAGGTTCCACCACCGGCCAGCTGGGTGATCAGGGAGGCTGGTCAATCTCCCTGGGCCTCAGCACCCTCGTCTGAGCTAAGAGCTAATCCCACCTGAATGTCGCTGCCACAGGCTGTGGTCATCCCTTAGAAAATGAAAAGCGGAGTCACTATAGGTCCAGCAGATCACAGAAGGACTGAAAGACTTGGAGATTTCTACCCTCAGGGCAGCAGCATTATCCACGGTGGCCAAAAGGTCGGGGCAGACCGGGGGTCTTCAGCTGGAGAGTGTATAAGTACGTGGAACATCTCTCTGTCTTACAGTGGAAGGCAAGGGTAGCTGGGTGAGGTGGCAGATGCCACCAGGAAAGGGCTTTCTGTGATCCCAGTACTGGAGGCCAAGCGGGCAGGTCCTTGGAGCCCAGGAGTTCAAGGGCAGCCTGGATACCACAGCAAGGCCTCACTCAGTTAGCAGTGACCACACCTCAGAGAAACCTCTTTGGCTATGAAGCTGCCACTGCACAAAGCCACAAGAGCTGTCTCAAAAAGAAAGAAAAAGAAAAGAAAGAAAGAAATTCTGGCACCTACTACAGTCTGTTGGACCTTGGGGCATCATGCTGAGTGAGACAGGCCAGTCACAAGAAAGCATGCTATACTACAGAACCCCATTTGTAAGTGGCCCCGAGTGGTCAGGTTTGAAGAGAAAAGCTGGGGTCCTGGTGGCAGGGGCTGGGGAGGACAGCGCCGTGTTTACTGGGTGTGGCATTTGAGTCTTGTAAGGTGACAGGAACTACGGGAGCAGATGGGGGTGGTGACTGCAGGGCCAGGGACATGGCTGACACAGCTGAGTGGGACACTCCAGATGGTCGGGTGGCAGGGTTTAGGGTTTTCTTAAAGCGTTAGAAATCGTCCTGTGATCTTTGACCTGCGCAGATATCCACGATTTTCTAGGACCTTTCCAATCATTTTCATGTGTTTCCTGTGGACGTAGTTCTGTCGGTCAGTTGAGCTCCAGTACTTTCTGCCCTGACCCCCTTGATGTCCTTGCAGTGTGGGTGGGAGGGGGAGTGTTCTCCTGCCACAGAGAAACCTAAGTGGCACGATTACGCTCACACGGTGGGCGGGGACCAAACACCAGGTCAGTTACCATTCAGGCCACTTTGGCATGTCCGCCATCCCCTGGTACAGGCACATGCGTGTGCAGCTTCCAGTGCAGCCATGGTGACTCAGGGTCCTCGCACATCTTGACAGTGATAGCGAGAGGCATGACCTAAGCACGGCAGAGCCAGCCCGGCACCCCGCTGACCTTGGACTGTGCCCACCGTCCCCTGTCAGGACCTCTGGGTGCTGTCCCCCGCGCTCACCTTGCTCTGCTCTCTCTCCTCGCAGCAAACAGCGGCACAACAAGCTGTGGGGCCAGCAGGCAGACAGCAGCCTCCAGCCGCCTTCCGAAGACCCTCCAGAGCCCAGCGACTTCCTGACGGAGACCCTGGATGGCACTCCTGATGTCCCGCTGCCCTGCTTGGACAATGCTGCCCAGCTCGGGCTCCAAGGAAGCCGGGCCCCAGGAGGGCCCGCTCTCCCCTGCTGTTTCCGGAGGCTCTCAGACCCCCTCCTGCCTCCCCCTCCTGAGGACGGCGGCAGCGTGGTGCACCTGGAGGATCTCGAGAGGGACGCTCTGTTGGAGGAAGAGGCCTCGCCCGCCGAGGCCCACAAGCCCGCCAGGCACCCCCAGGATGGCGCTGGACTCTGCGAGAAGGATGTGAAGAAGAAACTAGAGTTTGGGAGCCCCAAAGCCCGGAGTGGCCCCTTGCCCCAGGTGGAGGAGATGGAGAGGGAAGAGGGCCCGGGCGCAGGGAGGTGGGGGCGGCCCTCGGTCCAGCCTGAGCGGGGCCTCCTGGAGCGCGGCAACCTCAACAACAACAACAGCAAGAGGAGCTGCCCCCAGGACTTGGAGGTAGGCGGGGCGGTGACTCTGGGCTGCGGGGAGGCAGCGTGACCAGCCGAGTGACTCTGGGTCCTTGGGGAACAACCTGCACCCCTGCAGCTGTCTTTGCCCCAGGCACCTTATTGGCACCTGGAGCAGGGCCGCCAACTCAGGTTCTTTTTCCTTTCGTAAAATGTAAAACAACCTGTCGCCCACCTCACAGGAGCTGAGGCAGAGCTCTTCTCCTGTCGCCTCACCCTCCCACACCTCCTCCCTCGGGACTGTTTTGAAACAAGTTCCCGAGGTGTCATCATTGCTAAGTGCTCTCGTGTGTAGCAGAGCCACAACACTGTCACCCCCTTTAAATGTGCCTGACATCTTCAGGCGTCTGATATTCAGTTCATGTCCCAGTGCGTGACACGAGCGCCACTGTCTCCACGGCTGTGGTACTTGGTGGATGGTGTGGAACACGGTGGACCTCTGCCCGTGTCTCACTCAGGTCCCCCCTGATTTCGCCCCCGTCTCCCTGCGCCCTCAGCGGGCAGCAGCCCAGGAGTGGGGACTGGCTTAGTGGAGGGGTGCAGTTGGCAAACTCCAAATCAAAAACTTACCCCCAACCAGGTAGGATTCCAGGTCCCCCCACACTCACGACTCCCCTCTGAGAGGAAACACCCATCAAGACAGGTGGCATGGGACCACTCTGCAGGACAGTGGTGCCACCAGTCGGCTCGCATGGTGCTAAGTCACTGGCCCAAGAAGGGGAGGGGCTTAGCTGGGAGGGTAGATTGTGAATGTGACATCACCTAGGAAACAGGACCTCCAGAACCCCGAGACGAGCATTCATTCCCGTGTCTGACCCCCACTTACCATGGTGCCTAGCCAGCCTGGGGTAGGGCGCACTCATATGGCCCCCGCGCACCTGCAGCTCAGCGGGGCGAGTGGAGAGTGAACACATAGGGATGTGGCGAGGCATGCCGCAGGCGGTCAGCATGCCGACGACAGGCTGTGGTGTGACGGAGGGGAGCAGCTGTGCAGGGAGCCAGGGGAGGGACTTCATGTGGCAATCCTGGCCCCTGCACACCTGCTGAGCCCACCCTGTGCCCCATTGACTCTGAAAGGTGCCCTCACACCTGATCCCAGCCCTCCACAGTAGATTTCCTTGCAGATGTGAGAAGAAAGAACATGGGAGCCCTTTGGTTAGAGCTTGAGAGAAAATTCTGGTTCAAGAATTAGGCCTCATTATGGTGAGGGTCCCTGAGATTGTCAGACTGAGGGTCGACTGGTGGACCCAGAAGCCGACCCAGGGTTCCTGGCAGAGAGACGTCCTCTAAGAGGGCCCGCTCCCATGCCCACCGCACATCCCCTGCAGCCTCCAGGGCAGGGCCGGGCCTCCTCCAGTGCTGGGCCACCAGGACTTCCTGTCTTGGGAAACCGAGTCTGCGCAGCTCTGGAGGTTCAGGGAGAAGCCCTCCTCCCGTGAGCACCTCCTCCAGCCCTCGGCCTGGAAGGCTTCATTTCAGACCATTCCAGAACTTCGCGGGGCAGTGTACTGGTCCCCTCGCCTGCCCTCCATCTCCCTGCCTCCACCTCAGCCCAGAAGAACAACTCCCGACTAGTCAGTCCTTTGGCACTTGAGGGGGTGAAGGGTGGCCCCACCTGGCAGAAGACTCCGGATAGCAGAGGGTTTCCCTGGGAAACAGTGTGAACGGCGTCTTCTGTGGGTCTGGCTGGGCCTGGAGGCACCTGTGTCTAGGTCTGGGTTGGGGTCTCCAAACGCTGTCTTTGCCCTTTGCCCCCTTTCTTGTGGAGACCGTGACTAGTACCGTTCCTTTAGCTGGGCTGGACAGGAAGGGCTCCATCCAGGGGCTGCGTGCTCCCCAAATGCAAATTATTTCTGCAAGGGGAAAACCCCCAGCTCCGCTTCTGCAGCCGACTCGCTATTTCACTTCATTCTCAGTGCCGTGAGCTGGCACTGAGCAGGGTAGGTGCCTTACTTCCCCGGGACACCGCAGCCTGTCCAAGAGGCACCCTGTGTAGGTGAGAAGGGAGGTTCCAGAGGCCCTGCCTCAACCCTCCTGGCCATGCAACCCACGCCCAGGTATTGGGCCTCAGCTTCTGGGTCTTGGTTCTGTGTCTCTGAGGTTTCTCTGACCTGCGTCGTCACAGTCAGGTGGGTTCCAGGAGTTCTTGTTTCCCACTGACTGCAGTGAGGGGTGCCCCTCCAGGTCTGCCCCCGCGCATTGCCTGCCCTCCTCCTGTGTCTGCTCCCTGGTTGACGGTGCTCCGTCTCACAGTGTTCTTGTCCCCTTGCAGCACGATGCTATGTTTGGGATCCTGAACAAAGTGAAGCCATCCTATAAATCCTGTGCCGATTGCATGTACCCTGCAGCCAGTGGACCTCCCGAGGCCTTCAGGGAGTGGTGTGAGGACCCAGGTGCTCCCGCCATCTGCACCCAGCCGGCCTTCCTGCCCCACCTCACATCCTCGCCTGCTGCCCACATGTCCAGCAGGTCCCGAGGTCTGGAGAAGCCGGCCTCTGGCGTGGCTGACGTGTCCTCCTTCCTACCACCAGCAGGTTCCAGAAGACCTGATGCCAGCAGCTCTGGAGCCGCAGCTGCTCCGGAGCTAACAGGTAGCATTTCAGAACCTTCTAGAGAGACCCCCAGAGTCCTGCCAAAGTCCCTCCTGTTGAAGAATTCTCACTGTGATAAGAACCCTCCCAACATGGAAGTGGTGAAGGAAGAACTGTCACCCAAGAAAGATCTCAAGCCTGCGAAGGACCTGAGGCTTCTGTTCAGTAGCGAATCCGAGAAGCCCACGACCAACAGCTACTTGATGCAGCACCAGGAATCCATCATCCAGCTGCAGAAGGCCGGCCTGGTCCGCAAGCACACCAAGGAGCTGGAGAGGCTGAAGAGTCTGCCCGCAGATAGCGCCCCCGGCCGGCTGGAGGCCAGCATACCCGAGGAGAGCCAGGAGCCCGCCGCCCCGCAGGACCCTGGGCCCCCAGCTCTGCCTGGCCACGCGGGGGGTGATGAGAAGCCAGAAGCCGCCCCCCAATCCGTGGAAGGAGCCTCGCTGAAGAGCCCCCCGCCCCTCCCCTGCCGCCTGGACCATTCCAGCACCTTCTCCAGAGACTTCCTGAGGACCATCTGCCACACCCCCACCTCCTCGTCCCTCAGCTCCAACATGACCCGCAGCTCCAGCAGTGACAGCATCCACAGTGTCCGCGGGAAGCCAGGGCTGGTGAAGCAGCGGACGCAGGAGATCGAGACGCGGCTGCGGCTGGCCGGCCTCACCGTGTCGTCCCCCCTCAAGCGCTCCCACTCTCTTGCCAAGCTCGGGAGCCTCGACTTCTCCACAGAGGACCTGTCCAGCGAGGCGGACGCCTCCACCCTCGCCGACCCCCAGGCCGTCCCCAGGAACCCGGCCTCCAAGCCATCAGGGAAATGCGCCCCAGGAAACTTGAACAGCCCCTCCTGGGTGAGCAGAAGCTGACCCACAGCAGACTCGTCATGCGATCCCTCCCTTGTCCCCCGTGGGTTTTGACCCGCCTCTTACATCTTGACTTGTCGTAAAGAACCCAAGTCACCTGAGCCTCCCGCTCTTGCCATGGAGAGGAGGAGACACGGCAGCACAGGAAGGAAGGGGAGGTGCCGGGTACGGGGATTTGTCAGAAACGCAGGACTCTGTCCCCAAGTCCCGGCTCTGAGAAGAGTACCGAATCAAGAAGAGCACGTTCAGATATGCACACATCCAAAATGTTTTATGGCAACATGCAAAAGAGGAGTCATGGTGACGCCACCGTCCCTGTGGCCCACGTTCCCAGCTCATCCCACCCTCAAAGACACTTGCGATGGCAGCCTAGTCCTACCTCTGTTCTCGCTGTGCTTTTTGTTTTTTAAATACTATGATTCCCAGGGCTCGTCCCAGGGAATGCTGCTGTCAGAAAGGGGTTTCCAGGGAGATTGGCTTCCTTTGGTGGGGACCCCAAGAGCGCCACCCGCCCTGGCTCTGGTGCGGCTGACAGGCATTGGGTCGGCACTGGGGTCAGTTGGGGGAAACGTGTGCAATACCCTCAGCGCCCCTGTTTCAGGGACGAGGACCCCAGACCGCTGCTTCTCTGTTCCTGCTGCTGAACTGGGCGTGGTCGGGTTGGGGAAGTGCTGGGGCTGCGGTTCTAGGAGGTGGATCCTCCCAGGAGCCCACCCTTCAGGGTTGTTGGGTCCCATTTTCCAATGTTTGGAAAGGGAAGGGATTTCGGGGGCAGAGACCTCTCCTGGGTCCTGCTCCAGGAGCTACTCGCTGCAGCTTCTCTGAGAGGAATGCGACTGGGGAAGGACAGGGAACAGCGTCCTCGGTGTCTCCAGTCGCCACTTCCTGTGGGGAGAACTGCTTCCTGTCTTTCCAGTTCTCCGGCGGCTTGGCAGAGGCAGTGACAGCCCAGGTCTCCTTGGGCTCCGCTCTGGGCAGCACCTCGAGGAATCAGGTGAGCTCAACAGGGCGTGTGACCCGGTCTGGGTTGGGTCCCCGATCAAGGAAGATGCGGGGACATCCTGAAGAGAGAGAAGCAGCTTGGGAGCGAGGCAGGGGCTGGTGTGCAGCCCCCCTCAGCTGAGAAGGGCTTTTACATTCTCTAGGGGTTGTGAGACAATAAACTAATGGTAGCAGGGACCTGTGGCCCCCGAAGCCCTGGGTGGGTACTGCCAGACCCTTCGTAGAAGTCGCCCACCCTGGTTTTATATGATGACACCAGGCAGCCCATGACCCTGTAGGAAAAAGTAAGACAAATTGGAAGTCCTCCTCTGGCTCTTGGACACCTCAAGCCAAACCCTCCCCCGTCTGTACCCAGGCCTCACAGCCCACCCCCACCAGGGTCTCCCGTGGAGGATGGAGGAGTGTGTGGTGGAGGGATCACGGAAGCTTCCCGCAGTTCCATCTTGCCCTCGGCAGGATCATCTGGATTAGCTCAGTGAGACCCAAAGCCTTCAGGGACAGGCAGCCCCAAAAGCAGATGCGTGAGTCGCCATCTCCTGTTGGTGGGAACTGGGCCCCACAGCGGCTGTGCTGGAGGAGACCTGGTGGGTTCAGGGTCCAGGCGGGTCTTACTCCACCTGGGGCGCAGGTTTCTGCAGACACCCTCTCCAGGGACTCTCTTCCCACTGAATGATTTTTTTTGCAGTCTGTTGTTTTACTTTGTAGGGTTCCCCCCACCCCCGCCCGGCCCACTACTGTCAGTTAAAGTCACTTAAAAAGGTGATTATCCACTTACATTTGAAACCGTGTGGGGTTTCCCCTCATCCTCAGCCAACAAAAGCATAAAAAAAAAAATACCAAGTTCAATGTTTTGCCACATCCAATTTCACGCAGTAGATCAAGTTTTGTGTCAACATAATTCTTTAGATTTGGTGATGATAGGCTTTTGTTGGTTTTTTTATCACCTCCGTAGAGGATAGTGATATGTTTTTGAAAACTTAAATTTTGAAAGCCATAATTTTTCTTTTGACCAGCTAAAGAGTGGGGGGTGGGGAAGATTACAGATACAAGGGGGTCTTTGGCTTCTGGCAAACTTGCCCATTTGTTGTGGAACCACAGCCAGCATATTAGGTCATCAGGGCAATGGGGGGAAGCATTCTTGATTTCTTGGTTTACATCCATCCTGGAGAGAAGGAGGAAAAGTTTTCTTAGAGGCCAAGACCACTGTTTTTGTTTTTGTTTTTTTTTAATTGTCGTCCTAGTTGGTTTGTTTTGTGGTGCTGGGGATTGAACCCACAGCCTTGTGCATGTGAGGCAAGAATTCTACCAACTGAGCTACACCCCCGTGTCACATTAACAAGACAAAAGCATTCTGCCAGATCAGAGGCACCTTGACAATGACATTTACACTGTCTCAGCAAAGAAAGTGTGCTCCTGCTCCGTGAGCTTGGCCAGAGCTTGGCCATAGTCTTTGGGAGATTCCCCGCATAAGGGACAGGAGAGGAGCAGAGAGGGACGCAGAGATTGGCGCTAGGCAAGTGATTTTGGTGATGGTCATTTTCCTTGAATGCCTGTGTGAACTAAGGGAAAAGGGAAATATCCCCATGGGGCCCCATCCCCCGCCACATGGCCTTCATGCGCACGGTGCCACAGTTGGGGTGTGCTTCAGCCCGTCCTGCGCTGGTGCAGGTTTGCCTGGATTATCAGGTTTCACGAGGCACAGAGGTGGTGCTGGTCGAGAAGAAGCTCCAGTTCTTCCCTCCTCTGACTGGGATCTGGCCCGGCCCAGGTCCATTTCTGTCTCTTCCAGCCACTGCAGGGTCTTCTACAACAAGCCCTGGCTGCTTGAACTTCCCATGAGAAAGGTTTCACTCTCTGCCTTCCTTGCCTCCTTGTTCTCAGCTGGGGACCTGCCAACCTCTGGACTGTGGACAGCTCACTGCTGCTGGCAGGCCCTTTCCCCTGCCCCCACCTTGCCCCTTCATGCAGGTGACACTCCCCAGAAGCACACAGGAGGCTGCCCTGTGCAAGCCCCTCCCCCCATACCTGCTTTCTCCAGCTCAAGAACATTCCAGTGAGTTCTGAAGTCCTCCCCCACCCTGCAAGCCCAGAGGATGCCTCCGGAGAGAGCTGAGGTTGGACAGACCTGCAGAGCAACCCTGCCCTGCACTGTGTCCCCAGGCCCATCCTGGAAGGTTGGTGAATACCCCGATCCCCGGGGACCCTTCCTCCCTCGTGAGCACAAATGCTACATGACTTAGTTAAGATCATACTAAAAAACTTCCCCAAGATACCCTAAAAGAAAAGCATTGCTTTTGGTGGTGCTGGGGATTGAACCCACGGCCTGGTGCATGCCAGAATTCAGTTCACCCAACCCTGCTGGTTGAATGGCCACTTAATGGGGCTCCCCTCAAACACACAAAACTCTCCAAGGGCCACCTCTTCCCCTCTGGCAGAAGTGCTAAGTAGATCAGGAAGGATGCCTGGGCAGCTCAGGGCAGCCTCGCCTGTCTGGTCCTACTCCCTGGTTAGCTGCCGAGGACACAGGCCACGTGTAGGTGGCTGCTTCACTCCACACCTAGCCACTGGCTCTGCTCTTGCCTGCTCTGCACTGAGTGCCTGGGGAAGGGGTCCCCTCTGCGGTGTCTGGACATGCATGGTGTGTGGCGTGTGCCTTCGTACATACCTGAGCACATACAGAAGAACCCAGCCATGTGCGTCATATCTCATCCACACGTCTGCCATGGCACCCAAGCTACAGAGGAGTCATCTGGACCATTGTGACGTGATGCTGCCCAGCGCTGCCCTGGGCCCTGCACATGTCCCTGCCCTGTGCTTGTCTTGCAATAGGTGCCACAGCCCCGCCTCCAACACCCGCGTCTAATAGACTCCCCATGGGCCGCTGTCCTGGCCAGGGTCCTGCTGCATGAGAAGATGGCTGCTCCCTCCCCTCCCTACGCCGTGGTCATTGTTCTACAATCCAGTGCCTTAATCCTAGTTTACAAATACTGTGTATTTATGGAGACTGTTGCGCTCTCATCTTTGGTGACTGGGTATTTGTCTCGTCAGTGGTGGTTGGTGTGGGACACGAGCTGTCCTAGGCCATTCTCGTGTTGACTCCGCTGTGCAGTTGGACGTGGTGTGTCCACAGCTACTCCAGGGAGCCTTGCTAGAAACAGCACCTGTGGTTCCGGGGGCCAGGCCAGCCTCGGCCATGGCTGCGTCCCTCGGGAGCCCACGAAAGAACACAGTTTGGTTTGTGGCCAGCTGGGGAGCGGCACAGGCCAAGCTCCAGACCCCAGCCCCTCGGCCATCCCCATCACAGCTGTGCCCTTGTCTCATAGAGGTGTGACTACCGCCTGGCCACCCTGGCTTTCCTCTCTTAGTGTCCTAAACTCTTTTGCAACAAAATGTAGGTACAGGTCCCCCACTGGGACACCACCGGAAGAGTTAGTCTTTGGTATTTCAGAAAGCTGCTGGTGGGTTCCTGTGTGTTGTGTTATATCAATGATTTTTTAATTGTTTTTCTTCTTGTTTTTTTATATTATATATTTAAAGGCAGTATCTTTTGTACTGTGAATTTGCAGTAGAATATGCATAATGCACTTTTTTTTACTTCCGTTGGTGTGTATTATATATAGTCTGTGTGCTTCTTGTGATGAAAATAAACTTTTTCTTTATAAATGACTGATGACTATGCATTTGTTCAACAGGAAACTACCTCGTCAGCCTTTGCCAAGACAGTCTGATTCTTCATCTTCATCATCATCCTCATCATGGACAGTCTTTACTGAGCACCTACTGTGTACTATGCTCTATGCCCAAAACCCTGGACAAGTTAGACCAGGGAGAACCAAAGAGAGAAGTGTCAGGTCTTTCCAGGACGCGTCCCGTTCCCTGATTCTGTCAGGAAGGAACAGGCCCTCTGCCGGGTGGCCATTTGTACACCAGAAAAAATGCTCCTCACCAGGATGGGACTTGGATTTGGGGTGGTCTCTCCATTATAGTAGAAATCAGAGAGCCAGAGGTGCGCCCCAGAGGATCACCAGGTGGGAGTGGTCCCCCCACATGGCAGGGACCAGAGGCTGGTGGGGCCGGTGCCTGCTCACTGCCATGGCAGGAGATGGTCACTGCGCCCGGCAGAGGCTCCTCGTGCTCACGTCACACCAGGCAGTTTTGGTGGCGCTCTCTCTCTCCCTGGGTGTGCCACCTTTCTGTCACTGTGACAGAGTACCCGAGATAAACAGAAGGAGGGGAAGGTCGGTTGTCCCCTCACCACCCCGTCCACGCTGCTGAAGATGGAGCCCAGGGCTTGGGGCGTCCTGGGCCAGCGCCCTGCCACCAAGCTGGGTCTCCATCCCCAGCAGGTCGTGTTTTGGCTCAGGGCCTCGGAGGCTTCAGTCCTGGTCCATCCATCTGTTTGCTCAGCCCAAAACGTGGAGGAGAAAGCTGCTCCCCCCGGGGTGACAGGGAGACAGAAGGTTCAGGAAGGGCCCCTGGACCCCCAGGAGGGCAGGCGTCCAGCGGCCTGACTTCCTCCTGCCAGGCCCTAGCTCCTGAAGGCTCCATCAGCTGGGGACTAAGCCCTCAAGGCATGGCCTTCGGGGAACCTTTAAAATCCAAACTGTTGCTAAAGCTGCACAAACAAGCAAATAAACCCCCCCAGAGAGTATCCATGTGAGGCCAAATCATGGCTGGAAACTGCTTATCAAGTATGAAATTCAAAGCAGAGGTTAGTGTTGTCACGCTAGAATGCAGTCCTGTCTATAAGGTGTTTGGAGAACATTCCCAGGACTGCAGGTGTAGCTCAGTGGTAGAGCGCCTGCCCAGCCCGCCCAGGCCCTGGTTCAGTCCCCAGCACTGCCGAGGGAGGGGGAGGGCCCTGGCTTAGGAACACCTCCTGGCAACCTGCAGGTACCAACCATTTCTCTTTGGGTCCTAAATGTGAATCCGATTCTGGGGACAGGGCCCAGCAAACTGTATGTCGATTCCCTGGGAATCTCTATGGCCGAGTTTAGAAACTACCAAAACAAGACTGATGCAATTGAGCAGGCTCACACTTCACCAGTTCCGATCACGTTCCACAGGGGCTCTCAGGAGACAGCACCATGTCGCCTAACAGAACATGGGTGTTCCCAAGCCTGCCCAGATCCTTGCTTATTGGGGGCTCTCAGAATGTTCCATAACTGGCTGGTGTCACCGGCTTTCATCTCAGAGTAGACATCCAGGTTGGGTGTGGTCCCAGATCACGCCTACAGGATGGGGAGCTTGCAGGGGAGAGTCCACGTGCCTTTTTAAGTCTGGGGAAGCCCCTCGGGGCAAGATGCTTGGAAAACCTTCCAGAAGGCAGAGAGGGCTCCCGGAAGGAGCCCTGAAGTTTTCAGGAAGCCCCTTTCCAAAGAGATGTCCACCCAGGGCGCGCAGAGTGATCCCTGCCCAGAAACGCCACTCGTCCTTGCACCCTAAAGCCAAAAGAACCAAAAGGACACGGTCCCGAACCTTCTCCCCATGGAGAGCACAATTCACAGATGTCAATTCCCTAAGTAAGACGGGCTAGTATTAGCAAATAGTCTTTGTACACCCCCCCACACACACTTTAAATCATCTCCAAATTGCTTATGACACTGAATACAATGTAAATGCCATGTATATAATTGTTTATTGCTTAGGGAATGGTGACAAGAAGTCTCTGTATAATCATGCAGATTTAGGTGTTTTCTTGGGGGGGGGGCGTTACCAGGGATTAAACTGAGGGGCACTGAGCCCCAACCCCAGCCCTGTTCCCTGTTTTGTATTTTATTTAAACACAGGGTCTCAGTTGCTTACTGCCTCACTAAGTTGCTGAGGCTGGCTTTGAACTTGCGACCCTCCTGCCTCAGCCTCCCGAGCCGCTGGGATGACGGGCGTGGGCGGCTTCACAGAAGACTTCTGCTTACAGTGATGCAGGGTGTTTTTTTCCCCCTGATATTTTCTAATGGCTTTTGAATCCCCAAATGCAGAATCAGCTGCACTTATGCATCTTCCATGTGCCTGACAGTGAGGAATCCCTCTGAATCCTCCACACAGCCTCTTCCTCAGTTTATGGAAACTGGCCTGCAGAGAACAACGAATTAGCCTTTGGTTACATCCAGAGAGTGATAAACCAGATAGATACTACTGACTCCCATCTGGAACCTTCTCTAGAGCAGAGTCTCCCGGCCCAGGAGTAGAAATAAGCAAACAGAAGATGCATCCTGTCCCCGCTTTAGGTCCCAGCAACAGAGCAGAGGGGTTAGAGCTGAAGCCTCGAGCCCCGAAAAAATCAGACCCACTGCATGCTCCAGAGGCTGTTGGGGCCACACACAGCGGGTCTCCTGCTCCCAAATCCTATTCACCATGCTTTGCCTTTAAAGGGAAACTGCTCGTGCATCCTGAAGTGTACTTGTCAAGGGTCCAGTTCCAACTTCAAATTCCTTTTTTTTTTTTTTTTTGTAAACTGTTCCAGCAAATAAAAGATCAACACACACATTAGCAGCCTCTCAATCTGGGAAAGGATGTGCTGGCATCTGACACTAAGAGTCCAGTTCTCCGAGCTGGGGATGTAGCTCAGTGGTAGAGTGGGTATGTAGCATGTGCAAGGCGCGGTGTCCATCCCCAGCACCACTCAAAAAAAAACAAAAAGATTCTCCCTAAAGTGTTGCATTGGAGTGAGCAGCTCCCTGTGGTTCTTGACATGGGATATCAAAATGTGGTGAGAGCCGGGCACGGTGGAACACTCCTGTCATCCCGGAGGATCAAGAGTTCAAAGCCAGCCTCAGCAAAAGCGAGGCCCTAAGCCACTCAGGGAGACTCTGTCTCTAAATAAAATACAAAATAGGGCTGGGGATGTGGCTCAGGGGTCGAGTGCCCCTGAGTTCAATCCCCAATACCTCCCCCGCAAAATGGGGCGAGAACAATGCTACCTGCCTCCTGGGACCAGTAATTTGAGAATTAACTAATAATTGGGAGATGCAAGGCCCACTCTGTATGGCACCCTGTCCATGCTGAATGATCGCTATTGTGGGTCCTGGTGATTCCTTCCCAGGGGCGCAGGCTTCTCATTTTGCACTGAGCCAGACAAGTTGCAGAGTTGGTCCTAGCGGTTTGACGGGTCCATCGAGGGTTTTGCAGCGACAGCCCTGGGCTCTGATCCCAGCCCTGTAATTTATGCACTCAGGACGAGTGATTGAATCTCTCTGTGCCTCAGTTTCCTCATCTGAAGAACACGAATAACCTCACAGTGGTGATATAAAGATTAGAACCATGTTATGAGTACAAAAGTAAACACCCTGAATTTCTTTTCTTTTTCTTTTTTTTTTTTTTTTTGGCACTGGGGGTTGAACTCAGGGGCACTGGACCACTGAGCCCCATCCCCAGCCCTATTTTATATTTTATTTAGAGACAGGGTCTCACTGAGTTGCTTATGGCCTCACTTTTGCTGAGGCTGGCTTTGAACTCGTGATCCTCCTGCCTCAGCCTCCGGAGCCACAGGGATGACAGGCATGTGCCACCGCACCTGGCCATCCTGGACTTTTTTTTTTAATATTTTTTAAAATATTTTATTCATTTATTTATATGTGGTGCTGAGAATTGAACCCAGTGCTTCACCATGTGAGGCAAGCACTGTACCACTGAGCCACCACCCCAGCCCCTGACTTTTGATATCATGCGTTATATAGGGAACTTAGCCAAGGTCATGGCACAAAGCGATCCCTAGAGAAGTGCCTGTAATAGCGGGAAGGACATTGGGCAGCCGTCCCTTCGCCAGACCCTCTTTCCTCTTGCCTCCTTAGCACCTGTGTGAAGGGCAGAGGGAGGTGATCGCGAGCTCCCTGGACAAGGAGGCCCTCAGCTGGGGTGTGTCCTCAGCCCCTGACCCCTCAGAGGATCCAGATCTGCCTCTCTCCATTTGTCCTCGTCCTGAGCCTGGGAAGTTCTTCCCTGCGAGCCTTTGAGGAGGGAAACACATGGGCGGCCTGTGAGCGTGGGCTTGTCCCTGCTGTGAGCCAGAGGTACATCCTGTTCTGCCGTTGCCATGGTAGATCCAGAAACATCTACCACCACAGAGGCTGCGGCTGGCGGCTGGCAGCGGGGCCAGGGCCGGGCAAGGACCTGGGCAGGCTGAGCACCAGAGGCCAGGCCGGAGAGAGGGCCAGGCTTGCCGCTGGACAGGGACCTGGGAGACCTCCCCCTGCACCCCCACCTGTCCTCAGGCAGGCACACGTTTGCGCACACACGGGCACAGAAGCCGGCACGTAGGCAAGATTTCCCACAGGGAAGAGTCCCTAACTCGGTTTTCTTCCTGGAGATGCTGAGAAAAGAACTGGGCCCTCCCAACTTCTTACCCCTGTGCAGTCCACAGCCAGGACACGGAATCACCCAGTCCCATCTTGCTCCCCAGATGGAATTCACTTTTCTGGTTGTCGTCCCCCCCAACCCCCATCAGTGGGTAAACACAGTCATGGTAACAAACTCACAGGGTGCGGAGGAGTAAGGGCCACTGAAAGTTTGCCTACTGCTGTGGTCTGAGCCAGCTGCAGGTCACATGTCTCGAGCAACATACATATATAGAGCGCTCAGAACGGTCCCTGGCCCCCGGAGCGTGCCCGGCATGCATGCATCTGTCCAACGAAACAACTGGCGAAGTGATCTGATTTTGTGGGACACCCGGGCCATGATTAGTAACACCTTTTCTCAAAAGAGACACTAGAGCTCTGAGCTCAGACCCCCGCCCTTCGCTGCTTTTCTTCATTCTTCATTCTGCCAAGCACTTCGGGGTTGCCCTGGGACTGCGCTCCAGCCCTGACCTCATGCCTGCTGAGGGCTGCAGGTGCGCCTGAGCTCACAGACTGGCCCCACACTCACTGACGTCACATCCTGTCTGAGCCTTCAGGGTTTCTGGTCAGTGGTAGACTCCATGATCCTGGGCTCCGAGGGTCTGTCTTCTCCAAAAGCCTGGACTTGAATGGTGACCGCCCCTCCCCACTAACTTCTTTGTGCTCTGCAGTGGTGGGGGGGGCACTCAGCTGGGATCATAACTGTCATTATGGATGACATCCCTTGAGTCACACTGGACAAAGCGGCCTTTCTCAGATGAAGGGACTCATAAGGGAAATGACTCACCCATGGGGCCCAGCCAAAAGGCAGAGAGAATTGCAGGGCCTTCTCTTCCAGGAAGCCACCCCTGATAGTGCCTGTCTAAACTCTGAAGAGATGGCTGTTCAGTCTGAACACCCCATGGGCATGCCTAGGACTGTGAGCTCCCTGAGGGCAGGGGCTAGGGCAGGTTTATTGGAGTCATTCCTGTGCCTGACATAGGAGGTGCTTGATAATATTTGTTGAATGACTTAACAAAGAAGACACCAATAGATCAACGATGGGGCTTACTTTTTTTTTTTTTGGTACTGGAGATTGAACTGGTACTCTCTGCTACTGAACTATATCCCCAGCCCTTTTTATTTTGAGACAAGGACTCCCTAAATTGCCGAAGCTGGCCTAGAATTTGCAATGCTTCCTGTCTCAGCTTCCTGAGTTGCTGGGATGATATGTGTGCACCAGGTTCTTTTCCTTTCTTGAGACATGAGGGTTTTGAAGCAGTTTGGTAGCCGGAGTTAGGCTCTTGCTCTGACACTTCCTGGCTGTGTAGTCCTGGGC